CAGTTAGACTATATACTGAGATACTGATGGCAGTAGTCTAGAAATTCCAACTTGAGCAAATGTTCAGAGACTGAGAAAAAACCAATAGTTTGATTTGACAAATTTTCAGACCGAATAAATGTATGAAGCTTTTATTATTATTATTATTTCCTTTAATTCCCAGAGGAACATAGGGCTTTAGCCAAACGTCTCCATTGCGTTCAGTTCTCTGTTAGAGTTTTCACCTGGCTCCAAGTCTGTTCACGCGTTTTCATCTCCTCTTCACATGACCTCGTCCAAGTCACCCTTGGACGACCGACTCGTCACTTCCCTTTCAGGTTCCACTCGACGGAGAGCCTGGCGTGTGATGTCACTTGATGGTTTCCTCATAGTATGGCCAATCCATCCACCTACATTTCTTCCTGCCTATTTGTGGGACAATTGGTTCCTGCTGGGCTGGTTTGCTCATTGCAGAGATTCCTGTTGTTGCTCTTTCTGGCCGGCCATCTAGTCTTGATTATTGAGCCAAGGCAGCTGTTGATGAAGGTCTGTAGTTTGTTTGAAGTCCTCTTCGTGACGCACCAAGTCTCCAATCCATACGTATAGTAGCACTGACTTCACATTGGAGTTGAAAATCGGATCTTATTTTTGATGCTGAGTGCTGTTGACCTCCACACAGACCTAACAGTAATGAAAGCTAGTCTTGCTTTCCCGATTCTGGCTTTGATATCCTCGTCAGTTCTGCCTGTAATTGAAACGATGCTTCCCAGATAGGTAAAGGAGGTTATTTCTTTCAGCGTCCTCCCATTTATGCTGGCTGATTGTTTTTGCTGCTGTTGTTGTTGGCCAGGAATCTTCATCACCTCTGCTTTCTCTTTGTTCACTTGAAGTCCCTCCTATCTTTGATGCTTCTTCTGCCAGCTTGTTGCTTTTCGCTTGCATATCTTCCAGTTTGTGGGAAATCAGAAATATGTCATCGGCGAAGTCAAGATCCTCGAAGTTCGTTCTTTGTGTGAGTCCATTTTATGCCTGTTCCCTCGTTGGTTGCCGTTGTCTGTCGCACTATCGAATCTACTGCAATCAGGAAGATCATTGGCGATAGTAGACAGCCTTGCCTCACTCCCGTCCTCACTTCGAAGGCTTCCGTTAATTTCCCGTTGTGGATTACTTGGCATGCAACATTGTCGTACAGCTGTTGGATGAGATGTATAATTGTCGATGGCACCCCGTAGTAGCGCAGTAGTTGCCAAATCATCTCTCGATCGACGCTGTCATAGGCCTTTTCAAAGTCTATGAAGTTGAGATAGAGAGGTGACCGCCATTCCAAGCTCTGTACAATGATGATCCGTAGTGTGACAATTTGATGAATACATCACTGTTTCTGCTGAATCCAGCCTGTTCCGGTCGAAGTATAAAGCTTGCTTATGTTTTAATTCACGTCGTAGTATTTCAACCCAATAGAGACGAAGTCGCTAGTTGTAAAGAGATAGAGTTACTGAAGAATAAGTGAACATAAATTTAGTGAGTTCCTGTGTAAATTTGTGTTGTACATCTGCAGTGTTTAGACTTTTGATCAGGTCTGAATGCACAACAGGTGTGCACTTCTCCGCAACGATAGTGATCCAGTCGGTAATGTTTAGCGTTGATTACTTGGTATGTGCTACTGACAAGATTCACCAGTAGTTATAGACACAGAATGATAAGAAGTGGCCAAAATTGTAATGAATATTTAAAGTCAATGGATATAGAGGCAGAAGTGTTTTTCCTCAAATCTGGATCTAGTTTATGTTGTGGACATGAAATAACCTCATCGACGACAACCTACTTAACCTTAGGTCAATAGCCAACCGATCAGAGTAGTTTATTCTCCATCGATCTGACTGAATTTTAATATTGTTAAAAATGTACAAATATGATGTTTTTCGGTAGTAGAGAAGCCTGTTACCAATCCTATTATCTTCTGACGTTACGGACTCATATAACGCAGAGGACCATTTTGCTATACTTATCTTCAATTCTGGGATTTATGAAATAATGGAATCAATGTGTGATCTCTGGTGTAACATTTAAGAGAGTTTCAGTTACAATAAATATGACTGCCACGAAGATCGTCCCAACTCCACTTCAGATATTCATGATTATTTATACAGTCTTTGTGAAAATCAATCTTCGCAATAACTCTAGCAAGCTTGACAGAATAGTGCACCTACCCATATCAATTAACTTCCAGTCAGTCACATCATGAGCGGCAAATTTCTGTTATTCTAGGCGAAATTGTTATAATTATTTGGCACTGTTTCGTACTCCTAAGCTTAATATCCAATTTTACTCCTTGACTTCAGTGAAACTTAAATGTGACTGCCTGACTGAGTTTCAGCTAACTTTCCTGCACATAAAAGCAGCATTTCAAGTAGCTAAACTCCATATAATATGCATGAACAGAAAAATTCAAAACATAACCAATAACTAGCAGAAAAGTAAGGGATAAACATGTAAACTTAGCAGATCTGGAAGACTACAAAATAGTGAATGCATCTGTGTTATTGAGAATTATTTAAAGTTATATCTCAAACAGTATCCAGCCATTCGTTCTCTCTTGGCGCCGCGGGGACCATGCTCCATTCCCTACCTGACTCAAACCAAAAGTCAAGAACTTTACATATTTATGACAAGTTTTGATTTGACCACCCCTAAACCTTTTGCAGTTTAATCCTGTTAGCTAACATCGCTCGACGAAGAAGGCGATGACTCAGAGTATGCATAACACGTTTCCTAGACAATATCAATCTCTGTGCCTTCTCACTCTCCTTGATTGATGAACACTCCCGCTTAAAACTCTACGTCTTATTTCACTACTGAAATGTACGGTAAGCAAAGCGGCAATTCCAACATAAGACCTATTTACTTTCGAATTCTCATGCCTTACACCTGAACATTATTTATTTGAGAATATTATGAAAAATACACAACGATCGAAAGTCATGGAAGCGATATATGCGATATTGTGGCATCCATTACCTGAATCGTGTGTATACGAACCTGGGGAACAAAGTTTTCTACACAACTTAATTTGCTAGTCACAATTAGGATGCAAGAAAGGAAGATGAGCATGACTGATTTAAACACCCTACTCTTAGCGAATCGGATCGTTGACTGAAGCATATCACCTAACCAACGAAAAATTGAGTAGTCAGTGAAAACTCACGACTCTCATACTCACCTTGTGTAATTTATCGTAAAATATAAAATAATGAGCAGAACTGCTAAGCAAAACCTGTTTCAATTCGCTTCCTGAATACTACTTTATCAAACACAACCACAATTATAATCATAATACCAGTGCTAAGACAGACAGCCTATCGTTGTCAGCCGTAAAGTCATCAGGCGACCTACTTAAATCACTGGGCTACCGAAATTTCTTTCTACCAAAATGCTTAATTTCATCTGGTTTTATCACTGTTTCAATCGTCCAGTTATATCAAATGACCTATATATGAACTTGCGCTCTGATTTAACTTGTTTCCAAGTGAAAGCTGTGCAATTCTCCAACGAAATGAAGATATACTTCAGATGATTACTTCACAAGTAAATCCTGCATGAAGAAATAAAAGTATTTTAGAACTAAATACGCTGAAAATGTTTGTACTATAAGTTCGCATATTGTCTGAAATAAAGCTTTATTATTACTATTGATGCTAGCAGTAGATCGGGTGGCTTTTGATTGGTTTATTTTTGGCATGAATTTCCGAGGACTTGTAAATCATATATACCAGCTGTATTTTGAATAATACAACCTTGTCCTTGTTGTCACAGTTAAATATCAAGTATCGTGTCTAGGAGGCGCATTCTAGTCAAACTAGACGACTGACAGGATCCAGCATAAAATAGTATATTATCCATTCTCAAGAATCTATGATTTATTTTGTGATGGCGTGGTGAGAGATGGCTGCTAGCCAAATTGGTAAACAGTAATTTACGTCAATGTTTACGTCCCATATCTTGGTCATGAGAAGAAACAAGAACAAAGACTAACTCAACAACCAATCACAGAAGACTTTGTGTGGGCGAATACGATTCGCAGATATGTAGTCTGACCTGCAAAGAAACAGCCACAAAGAGAGATGACAGAATAACTTTCAGCGAGAAAACAACCAATCAGAAGACGTCGCTTCTCTGCTACTAGTAACGAATAATCACGTACATAAAAATCTACAAATATCTGTTGATTTTCTGAATTAACGATCTATTGGCTGGCCCTTGTCTTCTGTCTTTACAATAGTAATTAACAGGCGCAGAGATAACAAAGTAGTGAACGGATTTATTCGGATCAGTTCAGTTCAGTCATAACAACGACGACAACCACAAATGAGTAACACTCCACATGATAACAACACAAAGAGTTCTTCTTCATTCAATTTTAATTATAATGAAATGAAACCAATGTACATTTTTTTATTGCTGTTCAAACTTATATATTTCACAATAAAAAAAATACCCACTATAGACAATTAACAAACAAACAAGCCAAAAAAGAAGGACTGGTCAAAATCAATAAACATATACATTTATTATGGGAAGTATACATATAGTAGACAATAAAACAATCTACTATTGCTAATAATAGAATACTCAAAAAATAACAATGAACACAGTACATATTCATACAAATAGAAAAAAAAACATATGTATATGTATATAGATGTGTGTGTTAACAAGAACAATTGAAAATTAACGCCCTACAATAACATTCTACGAAACAAGATCCAGTTGCTTAAACAGAAGTATACAAAAGAAATAAATAAGCACCTTACTTACTGCAAGCAATTAAGTGAATGAACATCACAGTTGTGTGTGAGTGTATTTTTTTTGTACGATTGGACATTAAAAGAGAAACCACTAAAGAATAAATTTGAATCAAATACACAAAGACTAGCAGAAGGCCTTACTGACATATACACATACATATATACGATTGAAATGATTGAAGAAATTCCTTCGGTAGGTTTACACAATTTTTCATATCACAGCTCCGGTCTTGGTGTTGCTGATTTAGATAATTAGAAAATAAAAGTATTTAAAAAAAGGTATTATTCATTAAATCACATTCAATTCGGTTATAAAACTCTTGACTACCCTTCTTTTAAATAGCTTACATCAATTAATAGTTTCACTCAAAATATTTTACGCTTAGTTGTGAGAATTAGCGAGATGTAGGTTCACTGGTCTACTAGACACTCGACTACCAACCAGCTGCCAATGGAGTCACACGCTCGAACCTCGTTCTACTTACTAAAGTTAGGGCAGTCGGATAGCATTGTAACGATAGAAGACAAGGACCAGCCAGACAGATCGTTTATTGAGAAAATCAAGAGGTATTTATAGATTCTTATGTACATTAATGTTAGCGGAGAATCAACGTCTTCTGATTGGTTGTTTTCTTGCTGAAGATTATTCTGTTACCTCTTCGTGGCCGTTTCTCAGAAAGTTAAGCCATATATCTGTGAATCCTATTTGCACACGTTAAGTCTGCTATGATTGGTTGACGTGTTCCTCAAAGCTAAGCTTAAAACTTCAACACAGTGGATTAAACCGACTAACTGAGAAAAACAGTGATGCCTCTTAGCCAGAATTTAAAATTCAATTGTATTATTACTATCACCGTTCCCATGGATTCCCAGGGGAATAAACGGATTTAATAGCATATCTCCACTGTTCCAGTTCTCTGCAGATCTGTTCATATAGCCCAAGGTTGACCATAAGCTCTTATTCCTTCATCACACGATCCCCTCCATAATATGCTCAAACGCCCGTCAAACTCATTGTTTTCGGTTCGAGTTCCACTCCAGCGATGGTCTGGCGCACGATGTCATTCGACGGTAACCTCAGTGTGCGTTTAATCCATCTCCATTCTCTTGTGAATGTTTATTGTGAGATAGGTTCTTGATTGGTTTATTCCGAGTCAGAGTTCCTTGTTGTTAATTCTTTCTCACAGGCCATCTAATCTTCAGTATCGACCGAAGGCACCAGTTGAATAACAGACTATATACTCCGTTGAAAATGCTTTTTGTAATGCACCAAGTTTTTGACCTGTATAGAAGAACTGACTGGTGATGAACACATAAGAATTTTTTGTTTACAGTGAGTGAAGAAGATTTTCAAACAGATTTCAGATTACTGAAGGTTTTGTCTTGCCTTTTCGATTCCCGTTTGACATCCCCATCCATAGTTGAAACAATGATGCCTAGATAAGTCAAGGAGGTGACCTCTTTTTCAAATTTCTTCCATTCATAATGATGACTGGTGCTCTAGTACAATAAGTGGAACAACAAAACTAGCCAGAGTGCTAACAATTTTCTGTTAATTTAATAACAACCTGAAGATTGTACACCTGAAACATTTTAACCCAGAACTGAATATATATAAAAGTTAGTTCTACCTTGAAAATAGAGTGAAGTGATGTTTACTTTACAAACCAAAACTAATAAATGACAAGACAACAGATTTGAATGTAGGATAATTACCAGTATCTTGAGAGAGAGAGAGAGATGACATAAATCTATAATAACACCTTAAATTTGATGATGCGCAACTAACAGTTGAATGAAGAATATCGCTATCCTGTTAAGTTAACTGGGTCTAACAGATTCCAAGAAAAGTCACTTAAAGAATACCACCAGTTTATGAGACTGAGATTCAAATATCAAAACCGAGAAATTTTTATCAAAACTAGTCGCAAAGTGATCACAAGTGATCTAGTAGATAACGCTTTGGTGTTTGAAACTATGGGCACTGGGTTCGAGCCCCGGTTGGAACATCATCAACCATTGTGGAGTGCAGGTAAATATAGGGCGAAATGCGCATCCTGGCTGGATTCCACTGATATTCACCACGCAATAATTAACTTCTAGTCACAAAATGGTTGATAATAATTATGAAGGTCAAACGATGAGTGCAATTACGCCTTACTAACTATGACAATCAAATTTGAGGCGATATGAAATAAAATTAAAGTTTATCAGTTTTTCAAATGAACTGTAGTCAAGATTTGACAGAATAGTTTTAAAATATTTGGGCGCCGAGTGAGAAGTAGACATTTGTGAAAAATTATATTTGTAAAATCTCAGCGATATTGAAATGAGTAATTCCAACGTTTCTTCCGTTCGGCAATCTGGTCCGAACTTCTTCAGGGAAATTAATCGAAATTAACATAACACCATAATTTTGAAAATACGTCTAATCATAAAATTCTAGATACTAACAGTTTGAACAGACATGAAGGTGTGATCTTGTTAGCTGATGCATAGGAAATCCTGATTAATAAACAAGAATGGATATGTATCACTAACTAATAATACTTGGTCAAAATTCCCGATTGTCTATATCTACTTATGGAGACATTAAGACATCGTTTTACAACTGTTTATTCGCACACATACACACTGTGTTTAAAGTGTTTAACAAAGGTAGATCAATATTTGTAAGTCTGAGGTCAAATTTTGATCACAACTCGTATAATTTTGTTTATTATACTTGTTAATACTTGTTTTATGACTCATGATTGTACAAAGTTTTTAAAAACAAGAGATGTTCCTTTTATATATAAACCTCAGTTATGTTAATTTCGATTAATTTCCCTGAAGAAGTTCGGACCAGATTGCCGAACGGAAGAAACGTTGGAATTAATCATTTCAATTTCGCTGAGATTTTACAAATATAATCTTTTAAAATGTCTTTATCAGTTTTTCTTTTAAACTTACGTGTAGGTTCCTGTGTTGACTTCTTGGATTCTTCATCCTTTTGAATAACTACTGGCTCTACAGTTGGCTTATCATCGCTCCCCTTCACCACTTTTTCTCCTTCATCCGGTTTCACTGCAAATGTAAACCAAAAGAAAAAGAAAAGTAAATACGACTAGTGATTAACCAAAGTTTAAAGAGAAAAAAATTTATTTACTGGTTTCACAAATGTAGAACTCTGTTCATAACAGTAGAGTACAACTGCCACAAGAATATTATAAAATCATTCAGTGAAACAAAGAATAAACTCGAAATTATGGGATAAATGAATGTTTTGCACTGAAATCTAAACTTTTCTAGACATTTGACTACTTTTAGGAGTTTCTTCACCGTATTTAACCGGTGGATGGTGACTAGCAGTGGAATCCAGGATGCGCACTTCGTCCTTTTTGGGACTCGCCATCTGGATGTACCTGCATTCCCCAGTGAGGGTTGATGTTCCCTCCGAGGCTCGAACCCAGTGCCCATAGTTTCAAACATGTCAACCTGAGACCGAGAACTTCGGTTCAATCAATCGATCGGAAAATCTAAAATTCAATTAAATAGTTTATTCACCGTGTTTTACAAATTCCACTAAAATATCTCCAAAACACTAAAAAGTTCAAAAATGGAATCTCTTCTACACAATCAAGAAAGGTTAATTTCTTTCCACAAATAATCTGTTTAACAGAAATCTCCCGTGGAGCTAAGCACATAGGCCACATCGACAAGGCATTTCCTAGATGCACTTATGAACACTTATCAGCATAGTTGTCAATGATTATGAACATTGAACGTTTGTTTATTGGCTTTGGTCGTCATCGGCGGGCAACTTGAAGACGTGAGTGAGTCGATCGGTTACAGTTAGAACAACATACGAAAGAATACGAATAAAAGTACATTACATTCCTTTTAAACATTTGTTTATAGACTTAGTACAGAATATTGATTTTAACTATCGAAGAATACAATTTCTTGCCATTCATTGTGTTTTGGAATTAAAGTCGATATCTGTACCTAGTATAATTGTTGATTCGGAACGTCCTCAAAAATAATAGGATCTTAGGATTAAGTCTATTGACAACAGTTGTCAAAAAGAAAACGCAGAAGAGTCAACAGATCAATTCTGAAGCATATTTTTACTTCTGGTCACTCAATATCAGAGTCATATATAAATTACAATCAAGCCATTTAAAAGGATTTCGCCTACATCTTATCTTCTTCATGCACCCGAAGCTTTAGTAATTCACAAGGTAAAATCAGAACTCTGTGTGTTCAGAAACGTTTCATCCAGCCTCATTTCACTTTTATGGCCTTGGAAACATTTTATTAATTTCTTTGTATTCTTGTATGATAAAATCTATACGGTCCCTCTCAGTTTTTTTGTGTTTTCTAATCCATTTTCAAACCTTTGTTCTCCTGTTTCTTATCAAGCAATCTCAAATGATTATTCATTCAGTAACAAATTAGTTGTAAACACTCTTGATTACGCAAGATTATTCTCAATTTTTCAAACGTCGTTATTACTCAAAACACCTTGATCTGTTTTATTACTATTATTATTTATTCTATTCCTTTACATTCCCAGTGGAACAGAGGGCTTCAGGCTAGGGGCTTGAAGTTTCGATTAAGGTTGCTACCCCCAAGCCCAAAGTTTCCTCTTTACCAGTCTGGCTTCGCGAGGTAAAGGAGTGCGTCCGTGGCCGGGAATCGAACCTCGAATCACCTGCGCAGTTAGCGAGCATTCTACCACTGTACCACCAACACACACTAACTACCAATAATCACTGACCTCTGTTGTTATCAAGTGAGATTTTATCAATGTACCCCCCCCCAACTAAACAAATGGACAGATTTCAAGTGAAGTTAGGAAAAAAGATCTGTTTCCTGACGTTTATGTTCTTAATTACATAACACAGGAATTTTTCATACCTTGAAAAAATTCCCCAACCTGATAGCAGTTCAAATTACAATGCTTTTTTTAGGTTGACTAATAACCTGTTTACATAAATATGGGTATATCTTTAAATAAGCCCTTTAATGAATAGCATGTTATATTATATTAACTTCACTTGTCACAACACCACAGAATTTTATATTTTAAAAATATCTATATATAAAATGGTAAAGCATTGAATTATGATTATAACACTATTCATCAGAATAATGGAAATACAACTGATGAGGATATCAAAGTGAGGATCGAGGAAGCACAGCAAACTTTCATTTCTCTCAAGTCTGTGTGAAGATCAACAGCACTCCTCATCATGAAAAATGACATCCAGATTTTCAACTCCAGTATGAAGTTAGTACTACTTTATGGATCAGAGACTTGCACTGTGCGTCATAAAGAGCATCTCAAACAAACTACAAACCTTATTAACAGCTATCTTAACTCAATACTAATCAAGATCAAATGGCCGACCAGAAAACATCAGCGACAGGGATCTCTGGCAATGAACGAACCAACGAGAAACCGATTGTGCAACAAATTAGCGGGAAGAAACGGAGGTGGATTGGATTGGCCATACTCTGAGGAAACCATCAAGTAACATCACTAGACAAGCCCTCGAGCGGTACCTGAAAGGGAAGTGGCGAGTTGGTCATCAGTGCGAGGGTGACACGGAGGATGTTATGTGAACAGGAGATGAAAGCATGTGGACAGACCTGGAGCCAGGTGAAAACTTTGGCAGAGAACCGAACACAATGGAGACGACCGGCTGAAGCCCTATGTTCCTCTAGGAATTACAGGAAACAATAATAATAATGTACTAAACTGGTTCCTTCAGTCCTTGAGTCCTGAGTGGAACATCGGGCCATAAGCTTTGAATGCTGAAACGTCATTTGTAATGATGTTGCTTTTACGGAGTGGATTCGCTACCTACCGGCTTACTATCAGCTAGTAAGCTAAGTGAGGTTTGGGGGCGAGTCGGCCGGGAATCGAACCTGGAATACATACTTGGTTGGCACACATTTTAGTATTGCATTGCTCGCGCATACTGACGTACAAAACAGCTGACCCTATTGAAATAGTGTAAGAGGGATATAAATTTGAAGCCCAGACACTTAAGCTACGATGAAATCCACTTAAGAATGATTTTGACGAAAAGGATTTCGTTTATCTCTCTCTCTCTCTCCTCTACATATTAGTACTAAACTATGAGTCAGAAACAATTAAACGAAAACCCAATTAAAACAGTAAATAATAACGAAAAATTTATAACAAACCTGTTCGTGATGCTGTGGTGTTCATTTTCGCTTGTTCAGCAAACATACGAGCAATTTCTGATCTCCATAAATCCATTTTCGTTGTATGATAAACAATTTCTCGTGATAATTCTTTCTCTTTAGCTTGTATATCAGAAACCAGTACAGGAGGATCTTGTTGAGTAGGTGATTTGTTCAAAGCATCAGTGGATTGTGCTAACCAAGTCTATGAAATACCAAAAACAGTATGTTTAATTATAAATAAATTTATTAGAGATAGTTCAAAACTATGAAATCTCACTCTACGAAGACCTTCAAACAAAAGAGAAGCATTGTATGTCCACCACTGTTATAGTGTAACAAAAGACAAGGGCCAGACCGTTTATTAAGGAAATCAACATATCTATAGATTTTCATGTACATTATATGTTATTATTAGCAGAAAAACACAGTCTTCTGATTGGTTGTTTCTCACTGAAAGTTAATTTTTCATCTCTTCACGGTTGTTTCTTGAATGTTAGATCATCCGTATACTAACTGTATCCGCCTACGCAAAATTAGTCTTTGTTTATATTTTCTCACGACCAATATTGAGGGTATAAATACTGTCTACCAATTTCGGCTAGTAGCCAGCTCTCACCACAATAGTATTTGACATTTATCTTGGTTTAAATGTCCTTGTTATTATTACTATTTTTATTCGTTACTTGATTTTTCATAGTGCAAAATAAGGCTTCAGCAGAACATTTTCATTGCACTCACTTCTCGGCCATCCACCGTTACCCACAAGCTTGCATTTCCTCTTTGTTTGATCTTCATCGTCATATCACTTTTCTACACGCAACCAGGAGCTCCCCACTCACAAGTTCCACTCGACGGCTTGACATGAGATGTCACTCAACGGTCTCCTCATCGTATGCTTAGTCTATCTCTGTTGCCTTGTATGTATCCGTTAGGCGATATATACCAACCATTAGCTGATTCGCTATCTGAAAAGTTCCTTGATGCTTATCTTTCCTGACTAGCCACCATCAGCCCTTCCCTTTTATTTGTCTCCAATCCATCTCCCCATTTCCTTCGGGATATCTTTTGTGCGATAGGTTATTGGTTAGTTCATTTCTGGAACTCACTGCTGCTAATTTTCTATGGTTATTTGATCTTTTGTATCGAGCGAAGGTAGGTGTTGACAAAAGTCTACAGAAGCCTGTTGTAAATGCTTTTGGTGATGCACTAAGTTATTGAACCACACAGCAGCACTGACTGACTTAACATTAATGTTGTGCCTTGTGTTAAGCAGTGAGTCCTGTAGATCTGTATACTGATTTGAGGTTAATGAACGTCTGTCTTGCTTCCCTGATCCGATTCTGACTGCCTTCGACATCTTTATCTATACCGTCGCCTGTAGTTGAAATGATGCTTTTTGGTTCAGATCAGGTAAATGAAAGAGACTTCTTCCATTGGTAGTGACTGATGTTTGCTGTTTGTTGGGTAGAGGGCTTCTTCATCACCACTGTCTTTTTCATGTTCAATTAAGGTCTTATTTATCGTTACAAGTATCTTTATGATTGTTAGTCTTTCCATAGTATACGGAAGAAAAAACAAACCACATCATTTGTATTCAATAAGTAGTTAGACATTAATTATATCAAAAACAATCACTTTGAAACCTCAATAAAAAGAAAACAGTCCACACCTTAATAGAAATACGCCAAATCAGTCTTTCTAAAAGATAGATTAGAATTAACGCCTTACTCGAAAATGCATAAAGTCTAAAAATGGTTTCCAAAGAAAGTAGAGAAATCGAGTGGAAGACATAAGTAATTTAAAAACTGTCATCAACAAAAATAGATTATAAAAACCAACGTTATAAAAAGGCAGCATATATCAACCAACACCCATGTTAAGTCGGTTAATGCTTCTATATGAGTCAGAAATCTGGCTCACGTCACAAAAAGCGTTTCAAATAACCAGCTGCAGAGTTTTATCAACAGTTAGCTTTGCTGGCTGCACATTGTGAAGATCAGGTGACTGGCCAGGAACTAAACCCTGGGACGAACCAATATCAAGGACCTATTGCTCAACAAATTATTATAATATTATTATTTCCTTTAATTCCTAGAGGAACATAGGGCTTCAGCCCACACCCTTTCATCTCCTCTTCACATGACATCCTCCATGTCACACTCTCACTGACGACCAACTCACCGCTTCCCTTTCGGGTTCCACTCGAGGGTTTGTCTAGTGATGTCACTTGATGGTTTCCTCAGAGTGTGGCCAATACATCTCCATTTCTTCCTGACTTTTTGTTTCACAATCTGTTCCTGGTTAGTTCGCTCGCAGAGATCTTTCTTGCTGGTCTTTTCTGGCCAGCCATCTGATCTTGAGTAATCAGCGAAGACAACTGTTAATGAAGGTCTGTAGTTTGTTTGAGATTCTCTTTATGACGCGCCGAGTCTCTGATCCGTATACTAGCACTGACTGAATTCACATTGGAGTTGAAAATCCGAATCTTATTTTTGATGCTGAGTGCTGTCGACCTCCACACAGACTTTAGAGTAATGAAAGCTTGTCTTGCTTTCCCGAACCTCTCTGCTTTGATATCCTCGTCAGTTACGCCTGTAGTTGAAACGATGCTTCTAAGGTAGGTAAAGGAGGTTGCTTCTTTCAGATTTCTCCCATTTATGACGGCCGATTGTTGTCTGTTGTTATTGCTGTTGCTTTTGGCCAGGAATCTTCATCTGTCCAACAAATACTCAGAAGAAAGTGGAGATGGATTAGACACACTCTGAGGAGACCAGCATATGACACTACGCACCTAGTCATCGCTAGAGTAGGACCCGAATAGGAAACGACGAGTTTGGTGTGTTTCCGACGGTGATCATAAAGGAGATGACAGACTATGGGGGCAATCATGGATCCATTTAAAGAAAATAGGACAAAGTGGAGATATGCTAGTAAGCCCGTATATTCCACTCGAAACCAAAAGAAACACTAATAATAAGGTCCTGGGTTCGAACCCCGCGGTGTGGGTGCATACTGATGAAGAGTTCCAAACTAGAACGAAACAGTTGGCTGTCCAGTACTCCCAATTTTCCAATGTTTCTTTAGCTGATGTCAGCGCATGATGAAATCCTCCAACCAAGCAAACAAAATCCCTACAGTAAAACCAATACTTGAAAATAAACGATCTTATTTGCAAGCATACCAACCACCTCACGCCTTAAACGATATTAGGAATGGTAGAAGAAAAAAAGCTCAGAAACCTTACCTTAGTTTCATTAATCTTATTTGTAAATGTTTGAATCTCCATCTCAGTGAATACATTTGACCAGGATCGTTCAGATCCAGTAGTTGATTCATTCTGTTCAACTGGCATAGCTTTTAATGTCTGAGCAAATAAATTTGATAATTCAATCATTTGGGCTAAAGTTTTATCAGCTAGTGTCAGTGTCTTATCAAATGATGACATAGCCTTTGGACGATGTTTCGCTTCAATACGTCTCTTCTCAATGGGGTTAATTAACACTTGCATTTCTTGGATTCTTGAATCATACTCCTGAAGTATGTAAAATGCAATAAGGGATACAGTATAAACATAATATATTTTATTAGGATTATCAAAACTATGCAGTTCATGAACACTTCATCAATTTGTTCTCCACTGTATAAAAATGACAACCAGGTAGCAACAATAGCTTTGAAGTAGAAACATAGATGCATAATACATCCTGCTAAAGATTTTGTATTGAGTGAATACCAGTTAGTTTTCTTCAGGGATAAGTTTTAAGTCAAAAGATTGATAGTTCTCTGACTGACTTAGTGAGTGAGTTTAAACATGGAACTTTGCACCGAAATGCAACAGTTCAAGTTGCCATACTCCATGTAGCTCACAAAAAAGATTGACAAAAAACAAAAAGAAAGAAATTCAACACAGGAGGGTTCAATGGATCTGGGACATCAGAGAGAGAGAGAGAGTGTGTGTGTGTGTGTGAATGCATCCACACCAGTGAGAAAGGTATTGAGGCATATCACTATAATATTCCCCAGACATCCGTTCTTAGCATTCTGAAGATGCCTCAACCAGGCAGTCTTCACTTATATACTTGGCTGGTTCAAACTAATTCTGAAAGACTTAGTGGACTGATCACAGGTAAATTAATTTATATCAAAATTCAATTGCTTCAAAACACATTTTTATACACCAGACTATGAGTGATATTGATAGTGGTTGGCCTTATAATACTGTGGTGAGAACTGGCTGCTAGCCCAAATTGGTAGACAGTAATTTACGTCAATGTTTATGTCCCCAATATTAGTCGTGAAAAACATAAGAACAAATATTTTGCGTAGGCGGATTCATTTAGCATATAGATGATCTGACATTCAAGAAACAGCTATAAGGAGATGAAGGATTAACTTTCAGTCAGAAACAACCAATCAGAAAACTGTATTTGTTTGCTTAAATTATTATTATTATTATATCCTTTAGTTCCTAGAGGAACATAGGGCTTCAGCTGCGCACCTCCATTGCCTTCGGTTTTCTGACAACTTTTTCACTCCACTCCAATTCTGCCCAAATGCTTTCATCTCCTCCTCGCATGACCTCCTCCAAGTCACTCTCTCACTGACGACCAACTGGCCGCTTCCCTTTCGGGTTCCACTCGAGGGTTTGTCTAGTGATGTCACTTGATGGTTTCCTCAGGGTGTGGCCAATACATCTCCATTTCTTCCTGACTTTTTGTTTCACAATCTGTTCCTGGTTAGTTCGCTCGCAGAGATCTTTCTTGCTGGTCTTTTCTGGCCAGCCATCTGATCTTGAGTAATCAGCGAAGACAACTGTTAATGAAGGTCTGTAGTTTGTTTGAGATTCTCTTTATGACGCACTGGCCAAGTCTCTGATCCATATAGTAGCACTGACTGAATTCACATTGGAGTTGAAAATCCGGATCTTATTTTTGATGCTGAGTGCTGTTGACTTCCACACAAACTTAAGAGTAATGAAAGCCTGTCTTGCTTTTCCGATTCTGGCTTTGATATCCTCGTCAGTTACGCCAGTAGTTGAAACGATACTTCCCAGGTAGGTAAAGGAGGTTGTTTCTTTCAGGTTCCTCCCATTTATGCAGGCTGATTGTTGTCTGTTGTTGTTGTTGCTGTTGATGTTGGCTAGGAATCTTTATCACCTCTGTTTTATCTATGTTCACTTGAAGTCCTATCTTTGATGCTTCTTCTGCCAGCTTGTTGCTTTTCACTTGCATACCTTCCGGTTTGTGGGAAATCAGATATATGTCATCATCGGCGAAGTCCAGATCCTCCAAGTTTGCTTAAATAATCTATAACAATGTACGTGAAAATCTATAAACATGTGTTGATTTCCTTAATAAACGATTTGTTGCCAGGCCCTTGTCTTATGTTGTTACAATACTACTAATGAGTCACTCCGACTAGAGTAGTTGGAGTGAGATTCACACTCAGGACCCTATAACAGATAATTCGAATGCAGAACCAACGAGCTTCATCATAAAATGAAATTAATGCATTTATGTGTGAAAGGAATATTGAATTACTGGCTCTCATTACAACTCATTTCACTGTCTCGACAATAGTATAATAGAAATCAAACTAGCGACTCTAATAAAATGCACTGCAGAATAACTATTTTGAACTCATAATAGCGTCAATATCGCGATGAGAATGAAGCTGCTAACACAGGTGTACAACAATCAGCTGTTTCTCCTGATTAGTGTAGTAAGTTGAGAACGTCTACATTTAGTTTCTCTTACAAACACTGATGACTTTGAATAGATATTTGACCTGTTTAAAATCATCATTTACTGAGCGTTTTGATCATTTTATGAAATGACTTGAATATCCTTGGTATTGTAGTAATCAGCTAAATACACTGTTAATGGTGGGTAGTTATGAATGATGTTTTCAAAAATACAGGTAATGCAATCAATATAAGATGAGTGTTATTCGCTGATATAAAACTGGTCGTCAAATGAAAATAGTTCTGGCTCGAAATTCAATACCAATAGTTCATAGAACAGTTGGCTAATGTTTTTTTGAAAAAATATCGGTTCCCGTGTGTGTGTGTGTGTGTGTGTGCGTGACTCCCATCTCTAGCTGCACATCTAAGAAATAGCCGGTTTGCTGCTCTTCATGTTACAGATTATGTAATCAGCTAGGCAGGATTCAGATAATATTGAGAATTTATCGGAGGATCCAATCAAAAATGTTCCTCTTTATAGAAGGTATGTAGATGGTATTGTAATCATCAGTGATAAGTCTTGTTCTGCCACCTCAATTTTAAATCGAATGAATGAAGTTCAGAATAGCATATCACTTACATCTGTAGAAGAGGAAGATAACTGTTTATCTTTCCTAGACATATCGCCTAGTCGACTGATGGCTTGATGGGTCAATAAAAAGTCTATTTATAGATAACCTACCTGAACAGGACAGTATCTTAATTACCACAGCCTCAGTAAGGTGCCTCTTCAGTAGAATCCAACGAATATGCACTGAAGACACACTTGATGAAGAAAAAAGAAAGTTGACACAAACTCTGGTTGATAACAATTATCCAGACAAGTTCATCAGGAGATATAAGGTTGTCAGAACACCAAGACCCATTCCACAACTCGCCTCTAAGAAAGACGTGTACATCAAGCTACCATATATGGGGGATCGTAGCAGCTTGATAACTAGACAAAGACTGAACGCTGCTGTTAAAAAGACTGTTTATTTGGCTAAGATCATAATAATTGAGAATGTGAAGCCAATATATCCATCCATCTAAGCCCTTCGAACATACGAAATAATGATGTCACATCCCACTGTATTTACCAATTTGAATGTACGTGTAGACACACACACACATACATAAGGAGGACTCATCGAACTCTGCAAATAAGGGCTGGGTTCAGAGCATATTCTTAAATGGCTCCAGAAACAAATGGAATCATCAGAACCTATTAACGGTGAGAACAGGAGACCTAGCTCTTCTATTGTGAAACATAGTATAGAGACAGGACACAAAATTGATGTTAACAGATCTTTTAAACCTATCTATAAAACGTGTTTGGGGGAGGGTGTATCCTAAAGTTTGTGGAGGCCCTAGCTGGCAGTTAGAAAGTTTAAGCCACCTTTATGCGTTCAAAAACAATTCGTCATCACATCAAACCTTCCGTGGTAAATTTTGTTTTGATACCATAGCAGATGTACTATTACGTCTGCTACTTGTGGTTTAGTGGTCTTCATTGTTATTTTGACCTTCAATATATCCTTTTAACTTGACCTAAGTCTATTTTTCTCACCTCTTACCTCTTTGTTAATTTCATATATATTCCTATGACAAGTCCGTGTATGATTAGATTGTTCGAAACAAGTGTTGCGCAAATACATTACAGGACTCAGACAAATTACGTCTTTTTATTGCTTCGTCTAAATTCATAAAGAGAACTAATTATTTTAAAACAGATGAGTATGTCAAAGTCAGTCAAGATCAGAAAAGAAAGACAGGAGTCTACTATTGTGAAATCGGCGTCTAGATCTACTGAAATAAGCACGAGGAATATGATTCAAGCATTTTACACAAATTTCAGGTCAGTCAGTAATTTTATTTAGTTTAAAGATTTGGAAGATCGTTAAAAGCGTCCATCGGATTCTAAGGACCAATGGCTGAAGACAACTGGTGATATAGATCAAAATCGTGCAGATGCATTCACTCTTTGTGATTTTTCATATCTAATAAAACTCTACTGTTCTTCCATATTACTATTCTTTTTGCCTCACACTCTGTTTATTATCTCTCTCTCTCTCTGTTTTGAATCTGTCTCTGCTCTTTTCTCTTGTTCTATGTGCTACATGGAGGGAGAGTGGCAAGTCGAACTGCTGCACACCTGTGCGCCGTTCTATGTTGAAATCAGTCAGTCATAAGACATCATTGTCTAGTGAATTACCCCTTAATAGTATACACTCTTTTTTGATTGGACACTAGTCAGTAACTCATGTAATGTTTGTGTGTGTGTCCAGTTCTATCTTTAATGCAGACTGAATTCTATCAGTCAAGTTTGCAATGTGACCATCATGCCACTAGGTGGCTCGTCATCACGGTGCACTTTGAATTGTCGGCATAAGATGGTTGGAGGCAATCGGCAGGAAGCCTCGCCTCCATCCCGAAAATTTCATGACAAAATAAATATTAGAACTTACATCTTTTGTTCCCTCATGACCAGTTTCATCGAACCAATCAGAGATAATTTGTAATACACCTTCTAAGTGTATAATTTCTTCTTTTGCACCATATTTAGCATAATCAGTTGAAATTTTATCACGTATATCAATGAGTAAAGTTTCAAGTTGATTAATTGATGCTTCTAATGCCGCCTTAGCTTTATCTGCTTCGCGTAATTTATTTAATCTACAATATTTTTTTAAATTGGTATTTTTAAAAGATGATAAGTTCAATCACATTCTTATAAAAAAATTACTAAGAAAACAAATTCTAGGAATTCATGCGATAACGCTACTAATTAAAAAAAAACACCGGATGTGAATCATTTTAATCAATTTAAAGTACCTTTACAAGCAATATACGATACGTATACGTATAAATAAAAACTCTCTGAGAATTATTGAATGACCCAGTAATTGAGTAAAGCCATAGATGAGCACCCTTGTACAATAATTATTTTCTTGACAAATCAATGAGTATTATTTATCTGTTAATAATGTTAGAGTTCTTCTAATACATTCATTCAGACAACTTCTTTTATACATTGACTAATATTAACAACTACTGTTTGTTCTAATGACAACTACTCATTACTTTTGTTAGCACTACCGTCTTTCATGATTTAAAAGAAAGAAAAAGTTGTATATAAATGCGATTATAAAGGGAGAGGAGAGGCATGAATTCGTTGTAATGAGTCTCTCTCTCTCAGCTGAACTCTACGTGTTTTTTTCCACTAATCTTTGTAACAAGTGAGAAAGTGCGAGAACTAAATAAGGCAGTATTAATTTAACAGCTGAGTGTATCATCAATGGTTTAAAAGAGTAGAAAGCTCGTCAACTGCACACGCGGTCTCGTTTTCAATTCCCGACTGATGCACATCGAAATTTCGCCTAAACAGCAGCAAGCCTGAGAAAAAGAGGGTAGGTTAGGCGTGAGCCTAGCAACCTTCCCCATCCTCCTTAGAAAAAACACTATAGCCACCGAAACACCAAAGCTTAATGCTTGAAATCCCACGAAAATGCATACTGAAAAATTACCTAAATATTTCATTTTACATTGTCTGCAGAGAAAGAACAATTCAGTGATATCACAGAAAGAGATCTGTAAAACATATACAAAACCCCAGTATAACATCAACTGACTGACCCAATTACAGAATACACTCCTGTATCACTCTCTCCCTCTCTTTGTAGGTCTGAAGAACACAGTTAGAGACACATTCCAACGTAGACTTCGTCACGAACCAACATCAGACAGAGAACTACTAAAAACCAGGGAACACTGAACAGCTGTTTTACCTTAGTTTTGAACTCCTCATCAGTGTGCACCATAGATTACACAAGGCATCGGACCCGAGACTATAAGGTTAAGAAACCAAATTCATCATAGCGGCGGTCAAACAAAAACTTGGCACCAGTCAATGAAATCCACAACAGTTGGTCTAAGCCACGTAGGAAGGTGTAGACTGGCTTCCTGGCTGGGGTCCTCGGGACGGTAAAAGTCTATGGTTGGAAACAATTGGTGACATGGCTCAAAATCGTTCTCAGTGGCTAACGCAGATGCATCCACTCCTTGTGACTTATGATCTCCAATGAAACTGTTTTGTTCTTCGTTATTACTCCTTTGTCTCACACCTCTGCTGACTGTCTCTATTATGCTTTTCTTGTACTTTCTTCTCTTGCTTTGTGTGCTGCGTGGAGTGTGGCGACTTGAGCTGCTGCACATATGTGCAAAGTTCTATGTCGAAAACAGACAGACAGACAATTCATTGACCATTTAGCTGATTGGGATTGCATTCAACGACCCATGAATTTTAATTTGTGTCACTTTGTGATATTTTTAAGTATTGGTTTGTTGTAGGGATTTTGTTTGATTGCAGTCCAGTACTCCCAGGTTTTCCAGTGGTTCTCTAACTGATGTCAGCTCATGATTAAATCCTCCACTTTGTGATATAACGCTACTCATCAACTAATTTCTTCGATGAGCATTCAATTCATGTTGAAATGATGGATCGTCAACATTGTTTTGAGACAACCATCTAGTAGTCATTAGGAAGCTGGAGATTATGATTTTTTGTAGGAATTTAGATCAGTTTCAATGTAGATCTTGAGGATGTTCATAGAAGCCATTTTTAGATGTGGGGAGTGCTATATCATGAAATGACAGAAGTTCGAATCCAGGTCTCACACTGAATTCCAACTGAGTGATCAGCGGAATTGACTTTGCAACCTGAAGTTCCTGGATTCGATCAATGATGAGATCATGGGTGTCTAACTCTGAGTAGTTCCAAACTAGGACGAAATAGCTATCCATTGTCTCTTGGTTTTCAACGATCATCAATTGGTGTTGCTTCGTGACGACATCTACATTGAAAGTAATCCAAAAACCTATAAAAACCTCATAATCTAAACATTGATTAGAGACACAACCAACCATATTATTCACACAAGTTGCTTACATCAACAGAAGATCAAACATGTGTGAATTAAAATTTACCATTCAATTGTTTAATGATATAATCAATGCAGGAATAATAGATGAACTCTATCCCAAAAGTAAGTTGTGTATAGCTTTTCCTAAACAGTCTTGTAATCAAAATGAAATATAGACTTCTCACTTAACAACAGTCCACTTTTTCCGCTACAATAAAACCTTCCACTTCAATACTTGGTCCCATACAACCGAATATGATCACACACACACATACACAAAATAGTTTAATTACGAATAGCTTCTCTGTCCGTAATCGACAATGTACCTCAGAGTGATAAAATTAAACAAAACTTTAAGCTAATACACATCAAACTGTATGAGATGCCACTGTTCTCAGAGGGTTTCTTTTTCTTTTTTTCAGTTCATCTTTTCCTTTTGTGTTGTTTTAGTCTAGTCACAGTGATTACAGTGGCAAAAACAAATCACGAGTGTCGGTGGTTCAGTGTTCGACCGCCGGCCAAAACACACTTAAGCCTCGCTTGATAGACAGTAAGCTCAGTAAAGAAGGAAGGCTGAGTGTATTGGGGGGCCCAGAAGCCCCCACCCCGTGAAATAATACCACTGCTACTGAATCTCCAGATTCGAATGCTTGAAGACTTACATTCCACTGGGAACGCGAAGAAATAAAAAACAATCTGGGAAATAACACAACCTAAGTAATATATATATAAATATATATACTAAATAATACAGAATAAAAATTAGTAGAAATACAATAAATAACTCACTTAGATAATGAAGACGCTAACACATCCGAAGGTAATTGAGGGAAATCAACATAATTAATTTCATAGTCAATAGGTTCAGGGAATGGTGCAGTAGGCTGAAAATAAATTTGAAATAAAGTTTGTATCAGAGATTTTGAAAGAAATGCAAGTGAGCGCAGAAAACACCGATGACAATTAGAAAAATTATCACAAAAGATACATTTTTTTCAACAATAAGCGTATAAAGCAAATATCCAGCAGCCAGGCTTGACTTATGCACACAACATACAAGCATGCTATCTAATCGATATATATACATATACATAAAAATATGCAAAACGAAGCTCAACATAAAAGGATGCGCATGCAATGGGCGATAGAAGGATTTTGAAGGCAATCACAGAATATGAAATACGACTGTTGATGACAGGATACATACGAAGCACGCAAAAAAGGAATTCAAACAGAAAGTAAGCAAAACTACCTTCACAGCACTATCTTGCTGACTTTGCCCAGAATTAGTGTCAGTGTCATGAGAAGAAATAGTTTGGTTATCTGAAATAGTCTGGAATGATTAAAGAAACTGAATAGTCAATTATAAAGAAAGTGGGAATAAGACTTAGATTACTAAGACATGATTCACTAGCTTACTTAAACACACATAGGAAAAACAAATTATGAGATCCACTAGGTAGATAAATAATTCAGTTCTCTAGTTTTCTGAAGAAGTACAACTAAGTATGCCTAATTTTAATTCTCTCTAATGCATGTGAGACGATACACGCTTCAAATACGATGAAGAAAAGTAAAACGAAGACTATATTTGTTCGAGGTAATAATTCAATTTGCCACGCTCTTAAATTTGCCTTGTTCCAACCAATCAGTTAGCCTATCTCTCAAACTTTCCTCTTAGGCAATAGAGTTGACTCCCCATTTCTGCTGGGAAAAGTATACTCTACAAATCTAGAATCTGCATTTTACGCCTAGCCTCTGTGGTGCAGTGGTAGTAGAATGCTCGCTAACCACACCTCAAGGGGTTCGATCCCTGGATTACCTTTTTCTTCACCTCACTTAGCCGGTTGTAAGCCCAGTTAACACGGTGGTTTAGGCGTGAGACCAGTAACTATATCCGTAAAAATAAAACCACTGCTACTCAAGCTTAAAGTCCTGTGTTCCACTCGGAATGAAAAGCAATAAAAATTGTTCTAACAATCTTATTCTACCATTTGGTCGTTGGGTTCATTGTTGGCCATTAGTCAAACTAGTGACTGAACCCAATAAAGTTGTGCTATTGATACCTTATGTCCCATTGAGAATGCAAGAAATAAATAACAACACTCGTATTAATTAATTTTAATTCAATTTCGATTTTCCCGTTGATTGATTGACTGGACCAAGACGTTCGGCCTCTGTTGACATATCGGCACCTAGTACGGACGTTTCCACGATGTCCAACGATTAGCTTGAAGTAATTAGGTGGGTGGTGACCAGCAGTATAATCCAGGATGCACATTTCGTCCTATTTAGGACTCGTTAACTGGATGCACCCGCAATCTCCAGTGTGTGATGTTCCCACTGGGACTCGAACCCAGTACCCATCGTTTCAAACGCCAAAGCGTTATCTACTAGACCATTTGATCTACGACAGCCACCTCGTCTACTCAATCAACGGGAAAATCAAAACTGAATTAGAAATAAATAATAACTGACACTCCGTTTCACAAGAGACGGCTCTCGTAGCCTAAGTAGTCTTTGGGATAACGCTTAGGTGTTTGAAATGGTGCATACTGGGTTGGAGTTACCATGGGAATACTATCACTCACTGGGGACTGATATGTAGTCACATGATGTGTGTTTTGTTTTTGACAGTGTTATATTTTGCTGTGTATATTGATCGATATTCCATTATAACGCACAATATGCTATGTCTGTCCATTAACTAAATAAACAATGTATGACCTTTTATCACACGACATTACAACCAATCAGAATCCAATGAGGGTAAGGTAAACTACCTGTCTTATGGTTCATGTGTATTAGTCATTTTCATACATACTTTTGCATTGTGCACTTTTACACACTTGTTCACACATTTCGTACACTATGTACCCTTCCACTCTCACACTTCTGTGACAGTCATGTATTTTCCAAACAAGGAAAATAATAAAGTATCATCGTGAACAAGGTGGTCTTCTGATTTTCCTCTTTCTGCGTCAGGACTATTAACTACTCGACGAGTACATAACAGGAATACAAGTGCATCTACCTGGTGGCTCGCGAATAGGACGAAATGCAAATCCTGGATTCCAACACTAACTAACATCCACCAAAATACTTCAAGTACTCGGTACTGATATTCTTAGCGTTGGTAATTAACATGCTTTGGGAATCAGGAATTAAAAAAGCACGGACTTCATGATAGAAATATAAAACCTAAGGCTAAGGCAAAGATCATTTCGGTTAAAACATGAATTTTTATGTAAATATGGAATGCACATCAGGTGAACTAGGTATTTTTTTTTGAAGAAACCAAAGAATTTTCTACCTCTGCAATATGCACACTTTTTAACTGTCTGAGAGAATAATACTTATTATGTCTTATGCAGTTATATATAGCTTCCGTTAGATGGATGAAGGCAATCGGCAGCAAAATTTGACTGATAGAATCCAACTATTGGTTTTGTAGGGATTTCGTTTGATTGGTCGGAGGATTTCATCATGAGCTGACATCAGTTAGCGAACCATTGAAAAAAACCTGGGAGTACTGGATAGCTGTCTCGTCGTAGCTTGAGACTCTTCATCAATACGCACGTACGGACAAGTTCGAATCTCAGAGGGGAAATGAGTTCCTGTAGGACGCCTTACTGACGAGTCCCAATAAGCACGAAACCTAGGTGTACAGTTTCCTGCCGATTAACTTCAACCATCTACTATTTCTAGGTGAGTACTGATGAAGAGTCACAAACCAGGACGAAACAACTGTCCAGTACTACTAGGCTTTCCAATGGTTATCTAACCGATATCAACTCATGATAGAATTCAGTTTGCATTAAGCGAAGGATTAGATGCATGACATTAATTGGTGCACAGTGTCTAATCAAAATAAACAGCTTCATGAGTAAAAACCATAGTTCAAATAGTTCTGGACCGGAAAACATAACAAAGCCCAAACTATAAAACAAACTTTTAAAATTACCAAGAATTAAATCGAACGGATTATATGATATCGAATTTCATAAATGGTGCATAGTCAAGGTGTTGGGCGCTACACCGAAAAGAAACCTTATTCAAAATGCTCAAAAAGAATAAGGATATTTTTGTTCTGCTGTCTACTGGTGTCTACTACACGCTGTTGCTTCTGTTTTTACAACCTCATGATTACTAATTATGCAACTGTCATTCCTTTTGAGCTTTCCCTGATTGTATCGTTTGAAGAACCGAATATTTAACTTTATATATATTCAAATAATCCAAGCTTTGTTAATTTCTTATTGGTTTCCAGTCAATTTTTTTACCTTTTAGACAATAACTACCCTTTGAATGAGAAGAATCTTGATCCGTAGAGACCTTAAATACTGGAGAGACAATGCAAATTAAAGTGAAGAATATATCATGAAGTATTATAAAGAATCTTACCGAGCCGTTGTTTACAGTCGTCATATTGACACCTGTTGAATTGCCACCAGCGACTGCCTCGTTGACATTTGCATCATGATCCGACGATTTTTCTTCATCACTCTTACCACCACCACCACCAAAGAGACCACTCAAAGTATTACCGATTTCTAAAACAGAGAGAAAAGACATATAGAGCAATTTACTAATCACAGATAATAATTCATAATACTCTGTATTTTAATTGAATTTGTGATTTTCCTATCGATTGATTGGACCGAAGTGCTCGGTTTCAGGTTGACATGTCGGCTTCTTGTGAAGATGCTTCGACGATGTTTGGGCATTTAGTTAGTGTTTAATTGGTGGATGGTGACTAGCAGTGAAATTCATCCAGGATGTGCATTTCGTCCTATTTGGGACTTGTCAACTGAATGTATCTGCATTTCTCAGTGAGTGATGATATTCCCACCGAGGCTCGAATCCAGTGACCATACTAGTGGATGAAGCTTTGGCGTTTGAAACCATGGTCACTGAATCCGAGCCTCGGTGGGAACATCATCACTCACTGAGAAATGCAGGTACATCCAGCTGACGTATCTCAAATAGGATAAAATGCGCATCCGGGATTCCACTGCTAGTCACCATCCACCAATTAAATACTCTGTATATTAAACACAAATGTATCTAATAGACCGAAATAAAACTGATCCCTTTTGAAATACCAGTTGAATCAAGATAAGAAATAATGGTAACCGGGCGTGAATCCCACGCTGACTGTTTGTGAATGAAAAACTGGAAAGTTACTCAACAACCACTTGCAATTCTATGCAGCTGAGGCAAAGAACCACACCTATTGTGTAAAGGCTAATGATACTAGCCAGCTTTCCAAACCTCAAAACGTGGAGTAGCCTTCAAACCCGTGACCCACTGGTTGGAAGTCGCGCGCCTAAGACATTGGAGCCACAGCACCACACTGACTGTTCAGAAACCCTGATCTTAAGAGATCGACCAACAGTGTAGTAGCAAATAATACAGTCTGGCTTTTTTTAAAGAGTTTAAAAGTAGTGAGCGACAAATTCAGTATTACGACAACCAAAGTCAACAAGCACTTATTCATTGTTTCATTGCATAATCTCAATTTTGTAAGATGAGTAAACTTAAGTCAAGTCAACAGATGAAGGTGGACCACATTATAAAATTCACTAACTCACTTTCAAAAGTAGACTTCGCCTTTGCTGAGTCACCAGATGTTTCAGTTTTCTCAATTGGATGAAATATACAACTAACACCACTAAGAATAAGAACTCCATTATGATCCATAGTGAAATGTGCTTTGACACCACGTGGTTCAGCGAATGAGTATTGTTTAGCAGACTTTGATACATTTCTTGTAGTCACATGACTAAGGTTATAATTCGGTCCTAGAAAACTAATGAGTTTTAAAAAAAGGGGGAAAAATATGAAACAAGTTGGTATAACGAGGAGTTATTTCAACTCGAAACCTAAAAGCTATACAAAAAAACATGCGATATAATGTAATTCCATATCAAGAGAGAACCAATTCTGTATACCTTTTCTTCATTTCTTTCAAGAATTGTGCAACCTTCCGCTGAAAGCTAATTAAATATATGCGCGAGTTCATGTAGAGTGATTATTTGATATGAATGCATGATTAAAATAATAAGAAATGCTGAAGAGTTCATGAATTTTGGCAGATGCGAACTCTAGTAGCACGATGATTTAAACAGGTCACCGTTATAATGGCAATCACAAAAGCTGATACACGCCCCGAGCAGGAAGCCAACGTCAGTTAGTGGGAATAGTTTGTATTAACTTGTATTTCAAGGATAGGTAATGATTTAGCCAAATGCACTAAGACTATTCACTTAGGTGATTTCATAAACTCTAAATAAAATGACTGCTAACGAAATTTCATCAAGGATAAAAGTCTTTAGCTAAACCTTTCGCAACGTTCGCTATCTCCAGAGTGAACAAGATGTAGATTCACCAACCGGATGACCAGTGCGGTACGCAACAACTCATTATTTCGCAGGAGGTGAAATGCGTGAGGAGACCAGTCTCTTCATTACACATATCTTCCTAGTTCTAGAGTCAATTACAGAGCGGTAAGAAAAGAAGACAAGTTAGATGATAAGCTTATTTTCTCCCAGTCAACACCTTCTACAGATAATACTGACCTAAAATGAAATGCAGTTCGAAGGTCCAAAGTGATCAGATTCTCATACAGTTAGTTTGAACCCTTGTAGATAAGTGTTACTTGACACGCACAGGTCTTCTAGAGATCTAAAATTAATGTCTGAGGATTTGCAATGAAATTACACTAAAGAATACACACGTAAATACTTTCTATAACCATAGAATGCTTGCATATTCAGATTTGTCGCTATGCTATCGATGTCTAGTCTTCCATTCTGATTCTAGTTATTCTAATATTATTGTATTTTTGGATATCTCTTCATTCAATATATTGGTAGACCGTATTTTACGTCAATGTTCATGTCCACAATATTGGTCGTGAGAAAATATAAACAAAGACCGATTTTGCGTAGGTGGATACAGTTAGTATATAGATGATCTGACATTCAAGAAATAGCTGTAAGGAGATGAAAGATTAACTTTCAGTGAGAAATAACCAATCAGAAGACTGTGTTTGTTTGCTGACAATAATCTATAATAATGTACATGAAAATCTATAAACATGTGTTGATTTCCTTAATAAATGATCTGTAGCCTGACCCTTGTCTTCTGTTGTTATAGATCAAATTAAATAACAATTCAGTTCACAATTATGTGTTGAACAGTCTGTGTAACATATCCACTCTAGTGTGTTGAAATGCCTTCGCATCAACATTCCATTATCTCATATTCGTATGTGCATCGGATTGATTGTGTTAATCACAGTGATTGAATTGAACCGCTTTAATCACCCTGTATTTGAACAAGAATACAATGCATAGATCAAATTGACTTAATTTTATGCGTTATATGTAAAGTATTTTATCACATATGAGTGTTCTGAAATCCAGCATGTACTGGCAGAAAGTTTCCCGCCGAATATGGCAAGGCAACACAGTTTATTAAACTTGTGGCGGTGTGATACAGACAATGTGTGCCAACGGAATGCTATTCTCACATGTTACACGGTGCAATTAGGCATTAGCAACAAAATACGATACATCTTATTTGAACATTTGATTTCATGTCAGAGACAGAATACTTCCCTACGGTTATAAACTGCATTAACAAACGAATACTATGTATATTTGAACATTATATTTCATGTTGTTTGATGTAAACAGAAATCACAAGCTCAGTGATTGCTTAAAGAATATCAACTGTAGATATATAAACAGCGGTTTGATCAATGAAAAATATACTTTGGCTTCCGTGTCTTGCCTTCTGTTGTTACAGTCTTAGTAAACCATGATGCTGTCGTACTGGACTTCACGTGGAGTGTGAATTTCAAGAGTCGGGGTAATACAGTAAAAAAAATCTACATTCGAGGTGAAATCAACGAGAATGACCGATAGCTTATCATCAGTAGTAAACATATCAAGATAAGTAAAGAATTGAAGTGAAACTTTCTACGTGCGTCGGTAGCACAGCGGTAGAATGCTGGCCGACGCACTCCTTTACCTCGTTAAGCCAGTAATAAGACTGGTGAAGAGGGAAGATTGTGCATGAGGCTGGCTAGCAACCCAATCTCGTAAAAATAATTATCACTGCTAGCGAAACTTCAAGCCTCTAGATTGGAGTCCTATGTTCCACTGGGAACGCAAAGGAATAATTTTCATTAGTTGGTTTGTAAGGATTAGACTTGTTTTTACTAGTTCGACCACGGAATGATATCAGTTAGAGAACCATTGAAAACCAGCCCTGGATTACTGGACAGCTGTTTCATCCTAATGCTCGGGAATCATCGGCATTACGCACCCACTGAGGTTCAAACCCAGAACCTTCCGGTTACAAGGCAAGCTCGTATACCATTCAGCCACTGGGACCCGACTCTATGGCCAGCCCATGAATTCCAACTTCTACCAAGGAATATTAAAAAAACACCAACTTTTAAATTATGCAATAATATCATAAACTATGAAATTCAGGCAAAAGAAAAAATAAGTCATGCAGTACTACTTATTTTGAAAAGAAATTACAATGAAAATTAACTAAAATAATGATTAGTTAGGGAGAAAATGGTTACCTTTTTGCAAATCCATCAAGATCAGCATAATTCACATAAAAATCTAAATCATTGACATGTCGATTGAATTTAATTGTACGTCTTTGAGGGAAAACAGCACCACGTGGAAAAAGAACTTGTCGAATATACGGTGAATCTGATTGTGCATCAGTTTTTGAGTCTTTATTCAACTTTTCATCAGATGATGCTGGAGCACGCATAAAGTCAACCTACAAAATAATTTTTTTGTAATGAGACGACAGTTCATGATCAAGAAAATAATGAATAATTTTTTTCAATAAGTACTAACAGGAGGGTCTGACTGACAGAATTTCAGCATAGAACTTAGCACAGAAGATCAGCAGTTCAAGTTGCCACACTCTATTTAGTATACAACGGTAGACATACGAGAGAAAACATTAGATTGATAACCCGGCCGACAACTGCCATGGTGGTCGGGCTTAAATACCGCAGTGACCCAACAAGCTAAACTGGCTGGGACTCATGTCCCTGCAGGTCCTACCGTGTCAGGAAAGTTGTTTGGATAGGGGTTAAGCTAAAAGCAGTTACCATGGGGTACATGGGCTCCAGAATCCAATCGGATCAAATGGCGTATGAACCCATATGGGTCACCGGAAACCATGGGAATGCAGCTCCTGACACTGCTCCGCTGCCTTGAAGATTAGACCCCAAGACAAAGGCTCGGGGGTGGTCCCTTAAGAAAACCACTTGCTTCAGTCTGGGCGCCCGGGCAGTATCTCAGCCTTCACATTAACAAATGTAGTGTGGCGCATCTTTCTTGGTGCCATATTGTACCAAGTTTTTATGCGTTTAAATAAAATTTTAAAAAATAAATAATTAGATTGATAAAGTGATTACTGTTATTATAAGCAGAAGTGTGAGGTACAAGGACAGGAACATGGAAAAAAACACGTTAACTTAGTGGATACATGGAACCACAGAGAGTGAATGCATCTGCGCCACTGAGAAAGATTTTCAGCCATATCACCAGCGATTGGTTCTTAGCATCCCAAGCAACCCAACCAGAAAACCTACACCTTCCAACGTGACTTCATGGTTTGATTTCAGGTTTTGACTTGAACATCACCAGCTCTTTCCAACCTGATCTTATGTCACCTAGAATTGCTCATCGAGTAAGGCAATGTCTCGGTATGTGTAATCAGTCCATTAGGGCTCAAGAGACTTCCAAAATAAGTAAAGTGACCTTGGCGGCCTGTTCGAATTTTTGGGCCTGCTACCAAAATATCTACATTTTGCATCCAGTTTACTGTTTACCAGCATACATTTATCACTTAAATATGAATTCTAACAGAATCATTTACTCTCGTAACTTTATTAATGATTTACGACCAAATGACTTTCATATTCCAAAGAAACCAAGAAGGAAACATCGTAGTGGTTGGCAGAGAGCTCTCAAACGTACACCAATACACTTAACTACGGTCCCCGTCATAATGAACTCAAACTGTCGCTCTCTGCCAAATAAGATAATGTACCTACAATCCCTGATGTCAACTGATACGTATCATAACACCGCCATAATCGCATTACAAGAAACGTGGTTGCATGAACTGTATGATGACAACCTTATCTCACTAAAGGACTTTATTTTATTTCGTCAAGACCGTCAATGTTGTAATAAGAAAAATGGTGGTGGCGTTGCAACTTTTATTCACTCCAAATGGTCTGTCTCAAATAACGTCTGCTTCACCTTCTCAAATGACTTCATTGACTGTATTACTGTCAAATGTCGCCCCAAACATATCCCCAAATATAAACAATTCTATATTACAAACATGTACATTTCTCCTAGTTGCTCTCCATCTGATCTATCTAATTTTGCTGATGAATTCACCATGTTTGCTGCTGCCAACTTCGACAACTCTCTATCCGTTATTACTGGAGACTTCAACACATCAGATTGCTCCTTTCTTGAAGCTCTTGGTCACACAAACATAGTCAAATTTCCCACTCGACTTGACAAAACACTCGACTCGTTTTTACTAATGACGAAGGAGTATATGAAACACGTAGACGTTCACCGATACATAACTCCGATCACTGCATTGTCCGCGTTTTGCCAAAAATATACAGCAAAACACATATTAAAATCTTCTCACACCTGTCTACGAAGCACAAGAAAGATGCTACACATCTGACAACTTACTCAATCTAAGATGCATGTTAAAAGATACCAACTGGGATCTATTCTATGAAAGTACATTAGATGACTCAATCACCAATATAATGGATTATCTTAAGTTCTGCCTCGACATATGCTGTCCCAAACAAACACTGTTCAAACGCCTCGACCGCTTCTCGTCTCCCCGTCTCAAACAACTTCGCAGGCAAAAAGAAATGTTATATAAATGCAAAGACAAGTTAGGACTTAAAAAGATTAATGCTCAAATCAAATCTGAAATCAAAAATCTTAATGCTATCTATAACCAAACACTTTTATCATGCAAATCTCCTAACAGCATGTGGAAACTTTTCAATGAAATTACTGGCAAAAGTAAGCGATGTAATGTTTTTCCCTCTTGTGATGTTAATGCTCTTAATCTGTCTTTTTTACGCTCTCCTTCTACTATAACCACTTCTAACGTTACCAATCTTGTAGCTGATAACTTCCAGGACTTCAATACTCTCGATGTTTTGAAATGTCTTAAAACTCTTAAGCCCTCACATAGTCTTGGCCCTGATAGCATACCTGCATATGTTCTAAAACAATGTGCAGATGCTTTATGTTCTCCTCTAACTAATATCCTAAATGCTTCTTTCTCCGAAAACGTTGTACCTGTTCCATGGAAAGACATTAAAATAGTCCCTGTCCCTAAACCTGGAAATAGCAAGAACGTAAAGTTCAGACCCATCGCCATCACTTCCCCGTTTCTAAAGCTCATGGAAAAACTAGTACTTCTTAAACTCGAACCCTCCCTTAAAAGCTTCGAAGACCCCAAACAATTTGCCTACAGACAGGGTAGGAGTACTTTAGACGCTGCAGCCGTCTTACACAACAGTATTATCTCATCATTAGACAAAGGTGCCAAATATGTCCGCTGCACGTTTCTTGACTTTACTTCTGCTTTCGACTCTGTACCTAGAAGTCTCTTGCTAAATAAGCTCTCCATGACACAAACCGAGTCCTGGGTCACTAACTGGTTGCATTCCTACTTTTCAAACAGAATGCAGTACACCGTATACAAAGGCCAATCCTCCTCTGCTGTGCTCACTGAAGCTGGTGTCCCCCAAGGTGCTGTACTCTCCCCACTTCTCTTTTCTTTCTTCCTACATGACCTACCGTCTTCAAATGACATTAACTTTGTCAAATATGCTGATGACCTAACTGTATCTTTACCTGTCAAATGTCAAAGTGACTGCTCTAAACTAAATGGCTTCTTATCAGAAATTAGCCAATGGTCCAAGGAAAACGGTCTAACCTTAAACCCCTCCAAATGCCAAACAGTTAATTTCACCCTTAGGCATAAATCTGACCTAAACAAACTGGTTAGCACTCACGAGGTGTGCAACATAGATGGCAGTGAAATAGAAACCAAGTCGGAAATTAAATACCTAGGCGTCACTCTATCTTCTGATCTTTCCTGGTCGTCTCATATCTTGACGATTTCCAAGAAAATATACCGTCTTACCTTCTACATCAAGAAGTTAAGACATTCTGGTGTAACCCAACCCTTACTCCTACAATTTGTTAACTCCCGTATTCTGCCTATTATTCTCTATTGCTCCCCCTTAGTCTTTCCTGGGCTATTGAAGAAAGACTATACCTTATTACGTAGGATGTTAAAGGTTGTCAGCAGGGTAAGCAGTTTGCCACTTAGCCAGCTTGTTAATATTCTGGTGGACAGGCATATGGACTCATGTGAAAAATGGGCGAAATCCATTTTATCTGACTCACAACACCCTCTACATTCACAACTCTCCCCATGTATCTCTTCAGGGAAAACAAGAAGCCTATATAGGAAACTATATGCCCGCACTAGTAAGTACAAAAACTCATCCATACCCTACCTAGCCCGTGTTCTGTGCGATAAAGAATGCATCAGGCATGAAACCTTTAACTTATTAAATAGTCAGTAGAACCAATGGATCTCGTCTTTCCAACTCACATCATTTATAGGTACAACGTTTTCTCGCTCTTCATTCTGTATTTATTTTTGTTATGTGCTGTTTTGTTTCTCTCTTCCTTGCAAACTCTACTTAAAACATTCTTGTTCGTTCTTTCACACTCTGTATATCTCGACCATTTTGCTATCGCTTACGCCAGTAAATATGCTAGTAGTATCTACTTTTCTAACACCTTCAAACACTTTAATTTTGGCTTTGCTACCGACATACTAATATGTTGTTGAGATAACTTTAATCTATGTAGAACTTTATTTATTGTTAATGTAAAAAACTGGATGCAATATTGTAGTAAAATGCTGAGAATTCCATTCTGTATCACAAGTACTGATTTGGAATAAAGCTTATGTTATGTTATATGTTATGTCAATATGCTTATACACTGTCTTTAAGGTAGAAGTCGGTGCAGTCCAGTCCTACGGCATCAACGTACATTTGATAGGAGCCAATCGCATGCCAGACATTCGAAGATTTCTGTTAAAGGTGTTTAGAAGACTCTGAATTTTGTCAGCGTCATCACCTAAGCGGACAGTATTATCCGCATACTCTAGGTCAACAAGATTGTTCTGTGGTATAACAAGAGAGTATTCGATATCATGTACATTAGGTCTGATTATCAACTAATACTACTATCACTTTGATTGGACACTAGTTAGTAACTAGTATAATGTATCAAGTCCTTTGTTTGGGGCAGACAGGATTCTATCAGTCAAGTTCGCAATTTGGCCACCGATTAACAGATAGAATTCATTCTACACCAACACCAAGGACTAAACACATGACGCCAGTTACTAACTAGTGTTCAGTCAAAGCATTCAATACAGTCCTACTGGAGGTCGATCGCGAGCCCGAATAGCTTAATGGTAACGTCTCTGGCTGCAGCACTGGGTGACGCGGGTTCAAATCCCAAAAGGGACAAGAGTTCCTTCAAGGGTCAAGATACGCCTTGTTAACTGGTGAGTGCCAGCTAGCACGAAGCCTAGGTCTAAGGCTTCCTGCAGACTGTCTCCATCTAATATCAATAATGATCCTATTACTACTGACTCTCATTTTCATTTGCAATATATTAGGGTATATATAGTAGGAAACACTCTTCAGCATAAGTTTCAAATGAAGATGTGCATAGTTCTTCCTGAGTCCAGAACGCATGACATGTATTATTCAATTGTCTATGAATAATGGCTGAAACATCACTTATCGAAAAATAGTATATTTCAATATATTCACTTTGCTACCCAATTGGTTAAGTGCATGAAATACTTATGCAAATGATGTTAGCTCAGGGAACCGAGAATTGACGGTGATATAGTGGTAGGACAATGGCTAACCAAGCAAGTGACACAGGGTTCGATCCTCAACTGACGCACTCGTCCACCTCACTTAGCCGGTAGTAAGCGCGGTAAAGAGGAAAGGTTGGGAGTAAGTCTCGCAACCCCATCCCTAAAATAATATACTCTGCTACTGGAACTTTAAAGCTGCAGCTTGAAGCAGTATGATCCAATGGGAACGCAAAGGGAATAAAATAATAAATGAAATGCTTATGTATAAAACTCGATATTAAATAATATTCTATTTCCTCTCAGAGAACAATCGTTAGCTACTATGGAAAAATCAGGCGTAGACGACCCACTGCTCCATTATGCTGACTCACTATTCGATTATGCATAACTTGAAACGGTAGAAAATTGTAGCAATCAATAGAAATCCTTGATAATCCTTATACAACGCTTATACACAAAGACAAAAATTTAAAACTAATATTGATTACATTAGTAACAAAAAACTTCAACACTCTGCATTCTCTTTAAATCGAATATCTTGACTTTTAAATTTTCACCATTTTAATGTGTTCAGCTAAATTCTTCTACTGTATACTGAAATGTGAAGTGCAACTATCGATCAAAGGAGGTGTGCACTGAGCAGCAGTCCTCCTTTATGGTTGTGAGACACGGCTATTTAAAAGGCTAGTTGCCTGGGATAATAGATGTCTGCGTTCTATCTCTTGTGTCAGGTTTTAAAATATGGTAAATAGTATTAAGGCTAAGCGTTAAGTGTTAGGTAAGGAGTGTAAATCAATCGATGAGGGTGTGAAAAGGGATCAAATGAGTAATAAGAAAAAAGGTGTAAACAGCGACCAAAATTGTCTATCCGACGATTCATTTTCATAAGCTGTACAACCATAATTATACTTAACAAAGAAATTATCAGACCAATCAGATACTGTCTGTCTGTTTTCGACATAGAACTTTGCACATATGTGCAGCAGCTCAAGTCGCCACACTCCACGCAGCACACAAAGCAAGAGAAGAAAGTAGGAGAAATGCATAATAAAGACAGTAAACAGAGGTGTGAGACAAAGGAATAGTAATAACGAAGAATAATATAGTTCCATTGGAAATCATAAGTCACAAGGAATGGATGCATCTGCGCCACTGAGAACGATTTTCAGCCATGTCACCAATTGTTTCCAACCATTGGTTTTAACCGTCCCTAGGACCTCAACCAGGAAGCCAGTCTGCACCTTCCTACGTGACTTAGACTAACTGTCGTGGACTTCATTGACTGGTGCCATGTTTTGGTTTGACCTCCGATAGCTTTTTCCAGCCTGACCCTATGTCAGCTAATACTGCCCGTCGAGGAAGGCGATCGATAGCTTGACATACGTAATACATATCCTAACCATCTCAGTAGATGTAATTTCACAGCCTCGTCGATTGATTTCCCCTCCTCACCTTACCCCTTACCCTTACCGATCAGATAGTGGTAAAAATTTGTCCACGAAAAGCGTACTACGTAATGCAAGATGTAACCCAGAAGAGGTGACTAATTGCTGCTGCTTATTATAATACTTTTGAATCCTTTCCTCTCTCTTTTTTTGCTTACTGTTGTGTGCTAAATGGGATGTGATTACTTGAACTGCTATACTTCCATGCAAAGTTCCTGGTTGGAGCTCAGTCAATCAGTCAGATCAGGATTGTAGTATCGCTGATCATCGCTCAAAAGTCTCACTTCTTGAAAAAGCTCATCGAAAATTTAAAAAAGAATTTGTGTAGGGGATTTGGAAAACCTGCTTACATTCACACGATGGACATTATTTGCACCGCATAACATTGTATTTATCTGAAATACAACCAATAATACTGATAAACATGTTTAGTATTATAAATATTGCAAAATTAAAAGAAAACCTAACGTTTTTTTTTAATTAACAACAACTTACAGCAATAGGATAAGGATTATAGTCTTTAACAATAAATCGAGTTACACGGAAACCGGGAGTATGAAATGCAGCTTGATATACAGCTCCAAGAGCAGCAGCTTCATCACTATTGACGCCTTTATGTAATTCTGTCCTGTAAACGAATAGTTATGAAAAAGAAATTAGCATAGAAAAAGCACTTGAACAGGACGATATATACACATTCACAGCTTCGTTCCTATCAAGTACAAAAGAAATTTAGTGAACACCCTTAGCCACAGAGTTAGAGCTCTATGCTCAGAAGGAGTAAATGAAGATGAGTTGTATATGATACTTTGATCGAAAATGGCTATCCCGAAAAATTTATCAAGGAACATCTGACAAAGAAAGCGGAAAAGGACTACTCACTATCTTAAAAAAAAAGAAGCCTCTTATATACGACTACGATTCATGGGCGATATACGAAGCGAGATAACTGCGAAGAAATTAAGAAAATCGGTTCAAAAAACTTTTAATGCTGGCGAACTACACTTATTATTCTCTACACGACCAATGGTGCTACCTCGACTGAAAGATGGAGTGCCTTAAATAGCCACTTAGAATTGTATCTACCAATTCAACTGCGCTTGTGGAGCCAGTTATATTGGCTGTTGCTTTAGGAACTTGATTTTTCGTGCTCACTCGAGAGCATCTCCCACTATGGCTAAGTAAAGGTGTAGTGAAAACCATTAACAGTTCGATACTGGACCATCTGGTGCAAACCGGCCACAAAGCCAGCGTGGAAGAATCCTTCTCTATAATCTACCGAGTACCTAATAAATTGCCAAAATCATCGAAGTACCGCATGCTCCAAACAGCAAAGGCTATTGCGATTCGCCTAAAACAACCAGTGCTCTGTATTCAAAAGGAGCAAGTCTAAGCCCTAACTTCTGCCCTGGCCTTCAGTAGGAACTATAAACTCATGAATCTGTAATATTATCTTTCCTAATTTTTCTGACATTCAGCTTATTTTATATTGATGCAATTCAGTTGTAATCTATCAATATTAATGTTGTTCATAAGACTCACTCATTTATTCACTATAATGTATATATAACTGTAGAGCCTGATGATAAAGCTATCGAAAAGAGTACTCTTTGTTCAGTATCCATTCTTTTTAAAAATTGTGAAATCATCAAGGTGTATTAGATATATTAGTGAAATATAAAATGGTGGCAAACTGTAAGCAGCTAACTGGTTCAAAAAATCTCAAAGCAGCATTTTTTTTTCTTATGAATACACTAATATGTTCAGTGTATATTTATAAGAGTCAGGTATCGATGAATGAACTCTTAAAGCATTACCGTCGAATATCAATTTGTTAAGATTGTCACAGGTGGATACTCCTATAATTCAGTCATGGATTCGATAACTAAGTTCCGAGTGAAACATAGGGCTTCAGAAAAACCTTTCATTCTGTTTCCTCCAGTTGCCTTTAGCTGGCTACACGAATGCCCATATGCTCTCATCTCTTCCTCACATACGACCTCCTCCCTGTCACATTCGAACCCAAGCCCAATTCGTCGGTTGCTATCCGAAATCCGCTCGAAGGACTGATTTGCGCGGGATCCCACTCAGCGGTCTCCTCAGCATTTGTCCAATTTATCTCCATTTCCTTTGGTATAATTTTTTGGGCAATCAGGCTCTTGGTTGATTCTTTCCCAGAGTTCCTTGTTTCTAATCCTTTCTGACCAGTCATCTGATATTCAGTACCGAACAAAGGCAGTTGTTGATAAAGGTCTACATCCTGTTTGAAATGCGTTTCGTGACGCGCCAAATCTCTGAGCCATGTCAAAAAGAAGTGACTTAACATTAGCGGTGAAAATCCTAATCTTGTTCTTCATGTTTATTGCAGTAGATTTGCAGACAACAAAAAAATAGAGCAATAGAGCAAAAATTTTCGTAATTTGTGAACTTAACTCAGAAGTTTTCATTTCCTGGAACTAAATGTGTTGACCAATAAAAGCAATCCAACGTTTTCTATTCTACAATGCAATTATATTCCTTTAGGGCCTATAAAACAGTTTTTATATGAATTCTATAAGGGTAACTTATTCTCCTTAGGCGTTTTAAGGGACAATTTTAAACTAAAATGTTAGGAAATATTGAGGACTGATGCTCTTGAATTAGACAGATATATATTCTCTTTCAACAATATCGTTTTGTTTTTCATTCATTGGGATATACAAAAAAACCTTTATTATAATGCAAATCATATACCCAATGCCCAAATTTTTTCAAGCTATTAAAAGTGAACTTGGTTTGGGCATATAGAATAAAGTCTAACTATAAAACTGAGTCTATTGAAAACAGGATATTGGAATAATTTTTTTGAAAAGTCATACAGTAAAGATAAACAACTTACTTTTTACTTAATTCAATTAAAACAGACTGTACTTTAGGAATACGTGTACCTCCTCCCATAAGAATAACTTCTTGCAAGGACTCCAATGGAGTATCGGACATCATATCTAAGAATGGTTTTCTAATACGTTCAAATAAATCTGAGCACAATGATTCCATTTCAGCACGAGTTACTTTAACTCTAAGATCTTCACCATCAAAAACATTCTCAACCTAAATGTAATTGGGGTAAAAAAGAAAAAAATTATTTGAGGCAAGTAGACTATTTTATATGCATCATATGCGATTCTTTGATTGGACACTAGTAACTAGTGTGATGTGTCTATTCCTTTCTTAAGTGCAGATTGAATCCTATCAGTGAGGCTTGCAATGTGGCCACCAATTTAGGTAGCTCATCATCAGAGTGCACATTGATTTGATGATATTTTATGGTCAGAGACAATCGACAGGAAGCCTTGGATCTAGGTTTTGTAATTAGTAGTGTTCTCTGAGCTGGTTGGTTTAGTTGCAGAGGTTTCATCGTCCTCCTTCTGGACAACATCTTTAGCGTAAGAGAAATGATTGAAATTGTTTCATGAGTGATATAATTGCGTCTCCCAGTATCCATGTATTGATCATTTTCCATTGCCTTCGATTTTAAACTTTCTCGTCACATGATTTACTTTTTATTGGTTGGTATATTCGGTCTACATTAACATGTTTGTTAATTGCACATTCGTTTGAGTACCAGGCTTCTAGGAATTCCCTGGAACTTTTGATGTTTCCCCTGTCTAAAATTTCGACATTATCCCAATCAAACTGATGTCTATAATTGTCTACATGCACTGATATGAAAGAATATGTATCCTGTCTTTTCACAGCTGATTCGTGTTCTTGGATTCTCATTCGAAGGGGACGCCCACTTTGGCTGATGTAATGCCTGTTACAGTTCATACAATTGGTTTTGTAAATGGTATTAATTTTATCTCCTTTTTCTGTTGGATCTTTCGGTTTGCAATATCTATACCAAACGGTTACAATATTCTAGCTATTATTTAAAAGATGTTTTTTATGTATGGTAGGGTAAATTTTCTTGAGTGCTTTGACGGTGGCTCCTTGTTGGTGTTGTGATTCGATTTTAAACACTTTTTGATGAAATTTTGTGGATAACTATTCTTTTTGAAGCTGCGCAACTAAACCAACCAGTTTAGAGAACACTATTAATTGAAAATCACCCACCTGAGCTACAAATCTTCTCTAGGTTTTGTGCTAGTTGGTCTGTCTGTCTGTCTATTTTCGACATAGAACTTTGCACAAATGTGCAGCAGCTCGAGTCGCCACACTCCACGCAGCACACAAAGCAAGAGAAGAAAGTACAAGAAAAGCATAATAAAGACAGTAAACAGAGGTGTGAGACAAAGGAATAGTAATAACGAAGAACAATATAGTTCCATTGGAAATCATAAGTCACAAGGTGTGGATGCATCTGCGCCACTGAGAACGATTTTCAGCCATGTCACCAATTGTTTCCAACCATAGATTTTTACCGTCCCGAGGACCCCAGCCTGGAAGTCTACACCTTCCTACGTGGCTTAGACCAACTGTTGTGGATTTCATTGACTGATGCCAAGTTTTTGTTTGACCGCCGCTAGCTTTTTTCCAGCCTGACCCTATATCCGCTAACATAGCTCGTCGAGGGAGGCGATGGCTTGGCATACGTAACACATGTCCTAACCATCTCAGTCTTTGTAGCTTCACGACTTCGTCGATTGATTTCCCCTGTTTACCTAGAACTCTACGCCTAACCTCCATGTTGCTCACCTTATTATGCCACTTTACACGGGAAATAGAACGCAGGCACCTATGATCAAAGACAGCTAGTCTTTTCATGTCTTCCACTCTCAGTGGCCAGGTCTCACAGCCATAAAGGAGGACGGAGCGGACTGATGAGCAGTACACCCGCCCTTTGGTCGATAGTCGAACATCTCGTCTACGCCAGAGTCGGCGTAAACTAACAAATGCGAAACGAGCCCCTTGTATTCGTGCTGAGATTTCGTCAGAGATCAACCCGTTGGGGCTGATGGTACTTCCCAAATAAGTGAAGCGGTCAACGTGCTCTACCACTTCACTTCCTATTTTTAAACTAGGCGTCGATGTAGTCCAGTCCTGTAACATCATCTTGCATTTGGCGGGAGCGAATCGCATGCCAAACATTCGTAGATTGCGGCTCAAGGTGTTTAGAAGACTCTGCATTTCGTCAGCGTCTTCGCCTAGAAGGACTATATCGTCTGCATATTCCAAGTCAACGAGATTATTCCCCGGTAGCAAGTCAATTCCTGAGTCGCTGAAGTCACTTAGGGTTAAGTCCATCAACACATCTATGATGAAGTTGAATAGAAAAGGGGATAATGGGCATCCTTGACGGACACCACTGGTCGTCATCAGTTCAGGTGACAGCTCGCCGTAAGCCCTCACCTGGCTGTATGAGTACGAGTAGAGTGCCTTAATCAGTGCAATATATTTTCTTGGAATTCCCTTTACAGCCAAGCATCTCCAGAGAACTTCCCGATCGACAGAGTCGAATGCTGCCTTTAGGTCAAGAAATATAATGACTGTTGGACGCCGGTAGGAATTCCTATGTTCTAGAATCTGTCGGAGGGTGAAGATATGATCAATACACCCTCTTCCTGGTCTAAAGCCTGCCTGGCTCTCTCGTGTTTGTGCCTCCCGAGCACCACTCAGTCTACGCATGATTATTGAGCCTAAGACTTTAGATACTATATTAGTCAAGCTAATCCCTCTGTGATTATCACAGGAAGACTTGTCTCCCTTCTTGTATATGGGGATAATCAGTGACTTACACCAACCCGATGGGACTTCTTCTGATTCCCAGACGCTGCCTAGTACCTCAGTTAATGCAGACAGTAAACTGTCTCCACCGTACTTAAATACCTCTGGAGTCATTCCATCAGGTCCCGCTGCTTTGCCTTTCAGATTGGTGACAGCTTTAGTAACCTCAGTTAGGGATGGAGGACCTGTGTCTATATCCCATTCAGGGAGGTGTTGGATGTTCGGAAGGTTGAGCGTGGCTGTGGGCAAATTAAACTGCTCCTCATAATGCTCTTTCCAACGATCCAGTCGTCTATCCTGTGAGCTAATTATAGTGCCATTTTTTTCCGAGATTGTCTCACTGATGATTTGTCTTCTCCCACCCGTTTCCCTGATGAGTGTAAATAGTGTCCTGGTGTTGCCTATCCTCGAAGCTTTTTCCATCTATTTCGCTTTTTTTGTGCTAGTTGGTAATCGTCAGCAAGGCGCATCTGCAACGTTGAAGTACTGCAGTCAGGGACATTATCACTGGGTGATGCTGGCTCGAGTCTGAGAAGGGACATGAGTCCCTTCAAGGTTGCAGACACGCCTTGTTGACGAGTACCTATCTAGCACGAAACCTAGGTTGAGCAAGGCTTCCTGCCGATTGCCTCCGACCATCTAATATCATATGCGATTATTGTACTAGTAACACTCATCCAAGCAACAAAAAATTACTTAACTAGCAAACTGTTAAGAAATTCATTTTAAGAAACAAAATGTCAGAATTTAAGGAGAAAAAAGCTATTCAGAACAGATGCATGCAGGTGTTATTTACCGAAAAACGAAATGTATGAAAACTGAATCATTGAGTGCATTGATACAAGCGTTCGATTACAAACACTAAGAATCTCATATTATAATTAGTTACTAAATAAGTAGGCGTGAATGTTATGAGAAATGAGTTGTTTTTCTCTTCGCTATAATCATATCAATACCCATGAAATAAGTGAGTATTGGCTGGAAACTTTCGGTGAAATTGTAAATGGTTTTCACTCCTTATCAACTTTCAAATCCTGGAAAGCTTTATTGATCCTTATTTAATTATTTTATCTGACCCATGCATGTTTTGTGCATACTAATACCATCCTAAGTGTGGCAACTTGAACTCATGCACTTCTATGCACTTTTTGATTGTTGTAGCTTATATGATATAAAACAATCATTGGTATAATAAGGCTATCTGAAAGGCAGTTTGGCTAACTAGTTTAGAAGCCGCTTAATTAGCAGATGTAAATACATTAAATGTGCCTTTCAAAGCTAAAAACTAATACAGCACAACAAACAAGGAAGTGTGTAACACTGTGAAGTGTAACAAGAGAAGGTTGACAAATCTGGCAGCGATAGAAGCCTTACGGAAACTAGTACAAAGTCAATCATGGTATATATATGCAACACAAACTTATCCCTACATATTTCGCAAGTTTTGACAATATAATACATATGATTTGGAGCCGTACGAAAATGTAGTTGGGAACCTTGACAACACAGAAAGCTAATCAAGTGCCTGAAAATCAATCTGATTCACCCTAACGACTGGTTGTGTACAGAAAGTTACCCAGGATTCTAATAAGAAGTCGTGACTGCATCAGTTCCCAATGGAAGGATGCTGTACAAGCTCGCCTTGTAACCAGAAGGTCCTGCGTTCGAATCCCACTGCGTGCATATTGTTGGAAAGTCTCGAACTAGGATGAAACAGCTGACCAGTACTACCTAGTTATCCAATAGTTATGTAGCTGATGTTAGCTAGTGATCAAACCTAAAAATATTGAGAATAATTTTATACTACCCAGTTTTCTAACCAGAGAAGATGCTGTCTTCAAAAGAGGAGGAGAAGAACTGATAAACTTATATTGGCTGATCGTTAACAAAACACTACGGCAGTTGCCAGAATCCTTTGATTATTGAAATTTCTTCAAACCATTTCCTAATATAGAATAAATAATTTTATAATTCATGTATGACTGCGAATTAATTTCCATTTTGATGAAAGAATGTCATAACAACGAGTTTTAATGACGTTGAAATAACTCTACTAGCCTAATCAGTAAACATGTACCAATGAGTTGGAGGGAGATACCTTTACAACAGTCTACCTACAGATGAACCTCGCTGTTGTTGTAAGCGGATTTTTTTTCATGTGGCAGGTTAAGAGGCACATTGTATGCGGGCCAGCGATACTACCCAGTTGTCTGGACTGAAGTAGATGGATTGGGACTGGAACCCGTCACCCATCAGCTGAAAACCGAGTGCTTAGGCCAATGAGCCCCATATCTCCACATAAATATATCAAATATTTGAAGAAATAAATAAATAAAATTCCAGTGACAACTATAAAAACACCTGTAAGTCAACATCATAGAGATAAAACAATACGCTCTCTTCTAGCTATAACAGTAACTTGTAAAAAATATACATATACTATACCACATACATAAAGCATACAAAAGAAAAACTAGTACATACTTGAGCAAATATTTCATTATTTGCACTCAACTTCATGAGGACATTTGAGGCTTCTTGAGTTAATTTAGACATCGCCCGATTATTTTGAATTACAAGATTTTATTCTTCTTTTTTGCTTCGCTGAATTTTCAACTAACAAATCTCTTATTCGATAGATAAATGCCATTGTACCAAGTATTGGATCATGACTGCATAAACGATATAAAAGATTAGAGAAAATATTTATTAGCACCAAGGAATAACACTGTTGGGATTCACACATATTATAGAGGACACATCTTTATTAAATAGGAGGTATACATCACTTCTCCATGAGAAGTGCTACAGTAAATCCTTTAAAACTAGTAATCTAACTGTAAACCAGCGTGCAAAGCATAAGACCGAATTTATAAGAAAGTTAACGAAAGAACAGTCCACATAAGTCAAAAGCTTTCATATAATGGATCACTCATTCCATCCTAGCTAAATCTTATAGCAACGTAGAACTTTGCACCGATGTGCACCAGTTCAAGTCGCCATACTCCCTCTTTGTAGCACACAAAACAAGAGAAGAAAGTAGAAGAAATGCACAATAGAGACAGTAAACAGAGGTGTGAGACAAAGGAATAGTAATAACGAAGAACAATATAGTTCCATTGGAAATCATAAGTCACAAGGAATGGATGCATCTGCACCAGCCATTGAGAACGATGAGGTTGAGCCATATCACTAATTGTTTCCAGTCTTCGTTGGTTTTTACCGTCCCTAGAGACCTCAAACAGACAGCAGTCTACACCTTTCTACGTGACTGGCTTAGACTAACTGTCGTGGATTTGATTGACCGGTGCCATGTTTTGGTTTGACCGCCGATAGCTCTTTTTCAGCCTGACCCTATGTCAGCTAACATTGCCCGTCGAGGAAGGCGGTCGATAGCTTGGCATACGTAATACATGTCCTAACCATCTCAGTCTATGTAATCTCACAGCCTCGTCGATTGATTTCCCCTCCTTACCTAGAAATCGACGCCTAACTTCAATATTGTTCACCTTATTATACCACTTCACAGGGGAGATAAACGCAGGCACCTATGATCGAAGACAGCTAATCTTTTCATATCTTCCACTCTCAATGGCCAGGTCTCACAGCTATAAAGGAGGACGGGGCGGACTGATGAGCGGTACATCCGGCCTTTGGTCGATAACCGGATATCACTTCTAAGCCAGAGACGTCGTAAACTGGCATATACGAAACTGCTGAGATTTCGTCAGAGATCAACCCGTTGGCACTGGCTGATGATACTTCCTAAATAAGTGAAGCGGTATAGCAAAATGATTTTTGTGCTGCTCTTGATATAAACAGGTTTGCTGGGATAATACTTTAATGCTGAAGCTATACGGATTAAGGCAGCACTCAGGAATGCCGATAGTATGCATACTTTAAATTAGGATTGGCATGAAGATACCAGGAGTATTAAAGGAAATGAAAATCCGAGTGAAAACAAGGAGAGAACTGGAGCTTCATACAGTCATAATTATACTCCACTATGATAACCACCATTATTCAATCAAGTTGATATCTGAATCCCAAACCAACTCTGAACTTCGCTTCTCAGAGGCTTTATTAAAAAAGAGCGGATATTTCCACAGACTAATCTGTAAGAAGCCAACACGAATTTTCATGGATATATCTCTTTGAGTAGGAAGACAAACCTAATCTATTCCTTGAATTCAACAATTAAAAAAGATCTGCCCCCATGATAAAATCAACAATAAACTGGGAGAACACTGACTAAAGCTCATGTAAAATGGTTACAAGATTCGGTGACAAAACATAAAAGAAGAACGACAGTGCGGAAAAATTCACTCAGAAGAAATTGTTGTTTATGAATGTTGGATTTAAAAGTAATACTGATGTTGAGACTCTGAATAGCCACCTAATCCAATCGTCGAGAGAAGTGACTTTTCTGCTCAGATATGAATTAATTCTTTTGGTCGGTAAGCACCTGATGAGATTTGGAAAAGCTATCACGTTGGGATGATTTCAATGTATCCACAAACTCATTTGCTCCTGTGAAGTTAGTTATATAGGCCGAACAAAGTGCACACTTTCCATATGCATCTAAGAAAAGCACAGCTAACAAAACGACAGTGGAAGTCAACCACTAGTTCAATTCTGCAGCATCTAATAATTCTAAGTCACACTGCCCCCACCCACCAGAGTCCTCTTCTACAGTCACCCACAAAATAAGATCAAATGGTAAAACAGGTGTATGACGTAGGCACCAGCAAATTGCTGATGCAAGGCCGAACTCGGCATCAAGTACACAAATCCTGCAGTAATGCATTCCATTTTATAGTACAAAAGGTTAGTGCAATTTTCGAAATTCCCTATCTTATGTCTTTTAAAAGATTTAGCTTAACAAAGCTTTCGTAGATCAAAATTGTCGCATGCATATTCGAAGCCAGGTGATTAACAGATAAGAAATTGTTGGTGAAAAATGAAAAAAACGCCTCTTAATAGTATACTAGAAATTCTAATAAAGGAAAAGAAACCAAAAAGGGCGAAGTTTAACTTTAAGCACCACTAACTACCAATCGAGGAGTGCAACCCCATCAATGACCGTGAAACGCTCACTGAGCAAGTTAGTGAAACCTGGCAAATAATGTTGTCATCATCAATAAAATATCCTCATCCAAGTGTTATGCTATTAAGTGGGATATCTGGCAAGTTTCAGCTTAGGTTCGGGAAAGATTAAGTTACTCCTTAAGCTAAGGACAAGTTCGAGTTAGATTACAGTTAGTTTAGGGATGTTTCCACGTTAGTGTTATGCTCAGGAAAGATTGGGGTTATTGTTAGGTTTAGAAGACCTGAATAAATATATGCATAGAATGTGATTAAATTACTCTGTTGATATAAAAATAGCACTTGTGCATTCTGGTAGAGTATATTTCCATTGTGGATAAAATTCATTTTGATAAAGTCTTACAGTGTTATACTGTAACATTTACTGATGAATTTTCGAGCACAACTTATTGCTCAGTAAATATTACTATTAGACTGTGAGACTTTATCAAAATAAATGTTACTCACAATGGAATTATACTGTGTTGATACTCCAGCCTAAAACTGAGAGCTTTTTTATTACATGTGAGAGCCAGGTATCCTCTGTAACACTTTTCTACAGTTTTTTATGCATTATTTCATAATTATATGCATTTCATACACAAAAATGCCTCCTTTACGTGATTGGTGCGTTCGAGGTCATTCACTGATTGGTAGTCAGTGGTGCTTAAAGTTTACTTTGCCTCAGAAAGCTTGTGATTTCTATACAATAATGAATCGGTAGTATTGTGGTGAGAGCTGGCTGCTAGCCAAATGGGTAGACAGTAATTTACGTCGGTGCTTAAGTCCACAATATTGGCCGTGAGAAAAATAGGAACAAAAGCTGACTCAACAACCAAACACAGCACACTTTGAGCAGGTGGATACAATTTGCAGATAAATAATCTGAACTTCAATAAACGACCACAAACAGATGAAAGATTAATGTTCGGCGAGAAACCACTAATCAGAAGACTGCTTGTTTGCTTACAATAATCTATAATAATGTACATTAAAATCCATAAATATCTTTTGATTTCCTAAATAAACGATCTTTTGCCTGACCCTTGTCTTTATTTTATTTATGTTCGATTACAGCTTGATTCCACACCGTATTTCTGGTACAAGTATGAAATTTTCAGCATACGATATCGGTAGCCCGAATTTTGCAGGCCGAGCATATATATCAGGTAGGCGTCGGCATGTGCATGGTCGGCGAGAGTCTTAACCACTGCGCCACCGACGCACAGTATAATAACGCCCGAAGCTATCATATTATGAAACATAAATGTAGGTATTCATGAAGACTTATAAATAATTTCACTTTTGTGCATTGATGAAAAACATAAACACTGAGTGGTTGATGTAGTTAAACTATCTTACATTTACTAATCCAAATGAAAATGAAACTAAACATCTGAGAACTCAAAAATCACACACAGGCACCTGCGCTACGCTAGACGGTGAATCTAATTATTACAAGAACTGACACCCGAAACCTTGCACTCCTGTCCGACTACAAATTTATATGCTGTTGTGACACAAATGGACTTTGATTGGTCACCTTTATCCCTAAGTTTTTCATCTTTGACTGAATGAAGTTATAAAATTTTTAAAAAAATGAAATAATCTATTATAGACGCAGCTGAAAATTAAAGACAGAATACTACAATTCTATGCACTTAATTGAATGTAGTTTTTTTCCTTCACGTTCCCCAGTGGAACATAGGGCTTCAAGATAGAGGCTTGAAATTTCTGTAGCAGTGTTTAATTTTACAGGATAGGGTTGCCACCCTCATGCCCAACCCTTCCCCTTTACAAGCATTATATCTGGCTTAGCGAGGTGAAGGAGTGCGTTGGCCTGGGATCGAACCCCAGACCATGTGCATGGTCGGTGAGCGTCTTAACCGCTATGTCACCGACGCTAATTTAATGTAATGCAGAGGCTTAATTTATCATCCTTCTAACAACGATTACAAGAAATTATGCCACAGTTATAATATAACCACCAACCTGACATTAACAATCCGTAGCATTGGAAACTCTCCGGTAACATCTCCATCTCTGTTTTTGCCGAAAGTGTAGGCTGAAAGGACAAGACGAAAATATTTCTGTATAGGAAATGAAGTTGAGAAACTACCGTAAATTTCAATAAATAAACAGAATGATCAAAGTGACGCCTATAAAAGGCATAGTGAATCTAGTTGGCATACTATTAAAAGAAATAAACACCAACGAAAACAATTCTAGGGGGATAATTCACAAGTGAGTTTTATACTTGAAATAAAAGTGGTGATTAAACTTATCCATATCGTCGTAATTCCCTTGAAAACATTTAAACTGTATTAACCGACTAAATAATTCTAGGATTTTGTAAATTACAGCTGGGAAATAATATGCCTTCTTGTATCAATCTTAAATATCATACATTGTCACCTTATATTTAGTGGAATAACGGCTTAGTGGTGGTAATGAATTGAAAATTCTCTCTATCTATTAATATTTTGCTAGCTGGGTTTTATTACGGGCTAAACCACATAAGATTTGACTCAATCTAGTGCAAAAATCTGTATGTGGTTGCTAAGTGGTAGTAAATCGCACTACTGTGGTGAGAGCTGGCTGCTAGCCAAATTGGTAGACATTAATTTACGTCAATTTTTATGTCCCAATATTGGTCGTAAGTAAAATGAGAACAAAGACTTTGCGTAGGCGGATAGAGTTAGCATATAGATGATCTAACATTCAAGAAACAGCCACAAAGAGATGAAAGATTAACTTTCAGTGAGAAACAACCAATCAGAGGACTGTGTTTCTCTGCTAACAATAATCTATAATAATGTGCATTGATTTCTTTAATAAAGGATCTGTTGCCTGACCGTTGTCTTCTGTTGTTACACTACAACATCTGGCTCTGACATTTTTTGTTGCAGGTTGATTCCACACCGTATTTTTTGGTATAGTTATGGAATTTTGAGCATATGATATTGGTAGCCCAATTTCGCAGGCCGACCATAGATATCAGGTGTGCGCCGGCAGGGAATCAAACCCCGGACCATGTGCATGGTCGGCGAGAGTCCTAACCACTGTGCCACCGACGCACATTCTAAAAGTATCTTCTTTTCTGCTACTCAGTCATCCAGAATACGATAAATCCGGGAGAAAATGTGATTAGAAGACTTAGTCAATGCATATTTAGAATTTTCCACACTCAAAGACTTCTCGCCTAACATGAACATTTTTCATAGGAGCAATCAAGCTAAATAAATGTAGTTCCCTCATATATTTCGCCATATCCTACTAAACTAACGGAAAGGGGAATAGTTCAGATGAATGCTTATCACATCCATGAATAATCCTTATCCAGTCATTAATGCTTATCATCTTATCAGCATTTACACAATCTCCTACTATTACAGGCGGCAAGTGTATAACTGGTTTGGACTAGTATGATTAAATATCTGAAGGAACTCTTGATTAATATATTTATACACCATGCTCAAGGAATTGAGACCAGTAACATTCCTGTTTCTATATATGGAGTAGAGATTCTACTTCACAGAAGTTGAGCCGTGTATTAATCTCCCAAACCAGAGATTTTAAGGACTATGTTAGCTTGGCTTCTTTTGTCGTAGTGAAGATATACTTCAATATCTCCAAGCACTGCCAGACGCTATTAGCATCCCAATACATTTAAACTAAGTACACCATATATTTGGTAGTTAACTAGTTTTAAGTTAGGACTACAAAAAACAGAACATGGAAGATTTACGATAATGACTTCAATGCTCAGAAAACACCACAACACATTTGATGAAGACAGCTTACTTGGAATGTGTTAAAGATCTCTCTATTTAAAGGTTTCCATGAATTATTGAATTCGGATATTAACAATGTATGAAAAACTCGAAGCCAGCCACCATTCAATCATAAATTTAAGGACTAAAAATAGTTCCAATTAATCCTCTCCAAGATTTCCAAAATGTTATTCAAAGAAGTAGCAGCTTTATGAGTGAAATTATCAATAGAACAACTTTAAATAGGACACAGACTATTCCCAACATGCTTTGGTATCTTCTTTCAGTGAAATTTATTTGGAAAGTATATTAAATAAATAAATACGTGATGTTTTAAGTCAAATTAACCTAATAGGATAGATAAATCATATATATTTTTAAGGCAAATAACTTAGATTTTACATGGAATATTATTTAGGTGTAATGCGACGAATTAACACTTTTGTGGAAATATTTCACAGCTATAAAATGTGTTAATTTTTAAAATAAGACAAGTAGAAGTTTAAAAAACACATTTGTGTGTTAAACAACACGATATTTCTACAGCATACTTTACTAACCTGCCAAGGTTGCAGTTGTGCTCATTGAACCAATATCAAAGAATGCGTAGTACTGAGGAGTGTCGTTGAAGCTCTTATGACGAAATAAGCCAAAGTTTAGAGCCACAGCAGCATTATCGTTGATAAGCTGAAGAACATTCAAGCCAGCAATCTTAGCTGCATACATGAGACGACGTCTCTCAGCTTGACTAAAATAACTCGGTACAGTCAGCACACAAGTTTTAATTTCAGAACCTAAAATAAAATAGAAGTTTCTAAATGTAAAGCATTGTGGTAGTATTAAGAAGTAAATTTGGCAATGCATCCAACATGCTAGCGGAAACTACTTCTGCCGTATCAACTGATATTCGACAGATTTATTACTTGTAGTAGATATTAAAGTCTTTATAGAAACTCAAACAAAAAGATCGGCAGCCTTAATAGATGCCAGTCAGTAAGACCAACAACTAAACGTTATAAGAAATTGCTAGGAACAACAGTGAACACTTCTGAAAGAACCCCAATGATACTCTTCGTCTCACAGTAGAAATATTCAGAACAGCACACAATTACCAAACTAGACAGTTAACCTTTCAAAGGAAAATAGAATATTATTGAACAGTCTCATGCATGTACATATGCTCAATTTTCACTCTTATTTATGAGAGTTATTGATACCAGTCGGCTGTCTAAACTTAGTTCTTTAGTTGGAACTCACTAACTCAGTACTGGACTATAAGCTACCTTTATTATGTGAGGGATGATGATACTACCCTGTCGCCCAGGCAAAAATAGGGGGAGGGCGGAATGTGAAACCTGAACCCATTGGTTAGGAGCCGACTTTAAACATATAAGGGAGAGTAGCTCATTAGCCGAAAGTTGAACGCATAAATCAATAGGTTTTTGATGACTAAATAATACTATCTTGTGACCTTTAGAAGTCAGACACTCCCACGACATAGTTTTATTAGCAGTGAATCAATATAGTCATAGAAACTCTATTATAGGTAAGAGTTCATTTTGATTAATCACATTGGAGACCAATAAACACCCTGGTTAAACCAAATGCTTACAGTCACTACGTGTTTGTGACAAATATTTTATTGATCAATTTAAAATTGGTGCTTTTGCTTTTTATATCTGTTAGTATATTAGCTTAATAAGCTTTATCCAACTAGCACATCTTGGTAGGTATTGCTGTAAACCAATTAAGTATCATCGTAGATTTCCACTATGTTGACAAAGTAACCTTTTATGTATTTGTTAGTACATGTCATCTCCCTTTCCGCACACATTCACAATCAAATTAATAAAAGATGAAATCTTAAGAAGCCTAATTTCTGACACTGAACAATCCGAATTAAACAACTTTCACTTCAAATAATAGGATGATCGGATGTTACACTATGATTCCGTTTATGTTACAAAAAAACATACCAGAATACTGTTCAGCATAATCATGCGCATATTCAAGAAGCATGCCAACCAGTTCATCAACCGAATATACTGTTCCATCCTTTTGAGTAAAAAATAATTGTCCGGTTGAGCTATCATAAGACAAATTGTGATAAGGATAACGCTCCTGAAAAACTTTCACCATGGGGTGATTTAATGTCTTCCCCAGAAGAGATGGAACAGACTGGTATACACATTCAGGACATTTAGAAGCCTGTCAAATAAAGATTAATATGAATATACTAGCATTAATTTTAAACAGAAAAGAATAACAACCATAGAAACAAGCATATCTCAGAGCCCATAAATTATTTCAAAAAAGGACTCGACACAAAGGGACACCAAGTTCCAAAGGCTATAAAATAAATTCACTGTAGTATCCTAGAGGTTTGGTATTAAACTTTATTTCCTAAACATATTGACTATCTGCTTTTAAGACGAAAGCCTTGTAACGAAAATATCTAAAGAGAAAAACACATATAGTCATTTTATTCATTCCTTTACGTTTCCAGTGGAACATACGGCTTGAAGCTTTAGCTCTGAAGTTTCGATAGCAGCGGCGTTTTTACGGGATCGTGTGGCCTTACACCCAACCTTCCTTCCTTGTCTAACTTAAGCAGGTTAAGGAGTGCGCTGGACGGGACTTAAACACCAAACCAAATGCATGGTCGGCAGCGCTCAACCACTGAGTCACTGATGCAGCCTGTATAAGGCTTAAATGGATCACTCATAAGCCCATACATAGTACTGCTTTAATTGCTAAAAAAAATCTGAAACGTTTCATACAGGAAACCTAATTCAATGAGTTAACACGTAACATGTATGAACATAAAGACAACTAATTGGACGTTTTTCATTTCAAGCCAATAAAATGTGTTTATCACAGATTTTTAAATAATGCTCTGAATTTTTTAACTGCCACTGTGAGTTATTTTAACAAGTAGCAACTTGAAGTAGTGCACTTCTGTTGCAAGTTATGTATGCATCTGTTAAACTGCATGCAAATTTTGATGTAATTAACTGCGAAGAACGAGATTCATGTGGTTTAAGTCCGTTACAACAAGGGAACTGGTTCCAAAGTGCAGACCATCTGTATAGAATACACTTGAGGTTAGAGATCTACTGTCTGAGGAAAATCAGTGACTTTAAATTTTGACTACCGAGTGAATTGTAGTGAAATCGATGTGGTACTTAGTATGAAACTCAGCGACTTCGTTAAAGCACTAGACCGTTAACACACAATTCTATACCAAATTATAACTATTTTAAGTTTTCCAAGTCGAATTATTTAGTCAGTCTATGTACGAAGATCATTATTTGAGGCAGTAATCTAATTTTTTTTATTTTTGATTACAGCTTGATTCCACACAGCATTTTTAATACTAGTATGGAATTTTCAGTGTGGATATCGGTAGCCCAAATTTCGCAGGCCAACCATAGATATCAGTTGTGCGTCGGCGTGGGCTCGAACCTCGGACCATATGCATGGTCGGCGAAAGTCCTAACCACTGTGCCACCGACGCACAGTTTGCTTGGGTTCCCAGCAAAGTAATAATGGTTAATATACGATACATATACCTCAATGAATGATCAGATAGTGTTCTAAATAGAAGTAAAGCAACCCGCTTACCAAATTAACTGCATGACTGGCAAAAACCCGCTCATTGTTTTTGAAACCGACCGCCGTAGATGTTTTTCGCTTAGAATCTCTGAGTGAAATTATACATAAACACACAAACTTTCAACTTACGCGTTAAGAGCTATTTCCATAGGCATTCCTGGCTGAAACAGAATGAATAACTATTGACCAAGAAAAAGAAACAAACCAAAACCACTGCTACTTTCATAAACTCAGTGCCCATATCAATTGCCATCGATGATATAGCATCTTTGAGATTCAACTTTTAGAAGCAAAAAACAAACCTATGCAAGTTAGGGACAAAGCTTGGAAAGCGACAACAGTGAGTATCACGAGCATTCTCGGCATGACAGTAAGATACGTGTACTACAAAATATCAAAGTACGCGCACCAACCTGTTTTGCTACTATTGGTCTAAAACCTGTTACCTAGATCTTTCAAATATTTAAACAATTGGTAGAATTTTATTCGCCATACGGCTAAAGTGACGTTCGGTTTCTACTGAGGAATATAAATAACTCTTGAAAATTTGATTTTTGACGGAGTCATCAATTTTTCCCAGAAGGAAACAATAACAAACAAAACTGATGTTCAGTAAGTTGTCATGAGGATACTCATCAGCCTCAGTTCAGCAGGTTTGAAGACTAGCTTGTATCGGTAGGCAATTTTTGAAAACTTTTGACCAGAGCATTCATTAATGAACATTGGATGCCAACCCTCACCGTTTTAGTCGATTTATTCAGCTGAAAGCTTACGTTAAACAACCACGCCTTTTGGCAGCTTGTTGTGTTACGTTCGTTTGTTCGTGCACGATCCCTAGCTAGCTAATCAATCATCTCGCACTCCTATTCAGTCCCGAAACATACCTCGCAATTTGGACGGTCAACTCTTGTGTTTTGCTTTGCCTTTGGTCTACGCGGAACGAATGCTATAGAAGTTTTGGGTATTCGATCTTGCGTTAGCATACATCGTACAATCCGTAAACGTCGACACCCTCAGCCTCTAAAATCCAAGGGTTGTGTGCCCAAGCATTTTAAAAACAATGTAATGTGTTAAATTCTGAGAAGCTGTATATCTAATATGGATTTGTATTACACTTCCAGGTATAGATGTAGATTTTTGGTTAAGGATAGAAGGATTAAAGCCTGTCCTAATTCTTATCATCTAATCCCTACACAGAATCAGTCAGGTGACGGTGCAGACGCACTTATTCTGGGAGTCATTTTCATGAGTTTATTATTCGGTGAGAGAACCATTACTTCATTCAGATATAGTTCTTGCTATGATTTGAACTCTCTTGCTGCTTCCTCCGAGATTTTGCGGTGTCGCGAAAAGGAAAAGAGAAAACAGATCGGTTTCAAAATCATTTCTTAGGATTCTGAACTTGTTGATTACAATTATTTCATGCATACGGAATGATATGGAGAATAGACACTTTTCCTGGTGCGGTAAATTAGCCATTGATTGAATCATGTGTATCCTCCCTCTGAACCCCTTCTAGAGAGTATAAACCGTATTTCGAGTCAAGATTTAGCTGTCTGGATGCAGTTTCTACCCCAACGAGATGTATTTGTAGTGATGAACACTTCATTGTTGATTCGAAAACAGGTCTAAATCATCGCCCATTAGGATATAAAAATGCAAGCTGCCACTGTGCAAGTGCAGTTTTTAAGTTGCGGCTCATTATTACATCTAGGTGCGTATGTGTATGAGCTGAGTGAAGTAGAAGCCTATATATATCGCACCGACACCAAGCCTATATACTCCTCAATACTGACCACTCTATAAACCAGTCTAAACGTTTGCAGTGATATCCACGGAACCTAAGCTGTCTTCAAATTTTTAGATTATCTGGAAAGAGGATTGACGCAGATATCATGAGCTGGTGGTAAATTGTAGGGTTGCGAGGAAACTACAATGCTGTACAAAAAATACCTCCGACAAAGATGAAAGTTTAGAAATGGTCATTAGAACTGACTTAGCCACACGAGGACTAATATGTTCCAGTTTAGCGAGATACCGTAGATACAACAGCCAACATAATTCCTCAAAGTTCTTCCATGGAAGACTCAAAAACCACCATGATAACTGTACAAAGTACCAGAATAAAAATCCAGGTCACTGAAAGAATGATGAAGCATATTGAAAAACTACAGTTAACCAGTTATAAAAGTTGACGGTCACTCGAAAGGTGGATAAATTCATTGCTACAAACTAATAATACTTTCAATGTAAGTGAAGATTGAACGATCAATTCATAGTTGTTTGCTCAACTCCTCCATATTTTTCGCGGGAGCCATCAATCCAGAACTCATTGTCTCATCGTTCGCTGTTCAGTGGAAGATAAAAAACTATCAGAAGTATTATCGTAATTTGTTGTTATAGCATTTATTCTTAGAGCTTGTGTGTAATAACCTTATTGTTGGTTACATATTGGCGTAAGAATAAAGGATTCTCGAGTCGCCAATCTGTGTTCTGGATTTTCGCGTTGATTATCACAAATTTTTTCTGAAAGTCTTCCAGGGACAGCGTGAGATCCAGCGTAGTAAGGGCTGGACATTCGCAGTTTATGAAAGTTGGCTTACAGTTTCTGATAGTTTTGGATAGTTTCTGTTCGTCTTTCCTAGTGCCTGCGAGCCATTTTGAACAAACATTGTCTGGAATTTTTCTGGAAATTTTGCAAAATTCATTGGTGCCTGGTCTATTTATTTTCACTCACAACATAACACCATCTACAGTACATGTGGGACATGAATTTCCAGTAGTGATCGTAAAAATTGTAACGTGTTCCTTGATATTCTCCCTGAAACAAAAGCCACAGATGAGGCTGTCCAGACACCCGTGGGATTGTACACACATGGAGTCAATCGGGTCTTACAACATTCAATGCGCAATTCTTCCAACTCCAGGAATCTCGCTGTCATTCGAAGCCTTTCAGAAACCCTTAGTACTAACGGACGCAAAACCAAAACACCGATTGGCTACTCGAGAATTCTTTATTCTAACACCAACATGTGATCAGCACAATAACTGAGGTCTATGAACAAATATTACAATAATAAGTCACAATATTACTTCTGACAGTTTTGGCCTGACTTCTTTATGAACAGCGACCGATGAGACGATGACTGGTGTATTGATGCCTCCGCGAAAATATGGGGAAGTTGGGTTTGAGCAAACAACCATGAATTGATCGTTCAATCTTCAACTACATTGACACTCCCCGTCAAAAAACGGATACATCCATTTTTCCATCCCGACCAAAACATGTTGACTTGGATGCCATCGCGGGAACCTGGGTCACACGAACAGAGCTGGAATGGAAAACAAACAGAAAAGCCAACACACCACAAGCATACCCACAGCACAATCTCACACATCGATGACGACCTGCGCCTCCAGATAAAGGTATCCTCTTGCAACACAATCACCACTTGCTAGAATGACTCTTACATAATGCAACGTGACCATAGCACCACCTCACGATACTCTACGCACATCCTCTTATCTACTCACTACCAATTACCACTGAAATCGCTTGTCACTCATTCTACCTCAATTCTAGTAACGGTGACATATGCAAGCCTCAGTCGTCTACACTCCCGCTCCCCGGTGTGTGGGACCGCAGCTAACAATTATCTCCGTATGCATTTCATTCCCAGCAATAGCCTAGCCTCCCCGGCGTATACGACCCATCTGCTGTCTCTAACATCAATCAATTCATTCACGGATGTAGAAGACAAGAAACAACTTCAGAAGTAATCACGACGAAAATTTTAACAAAATTATGTAGTAACAACAAGGTACGAAAACAACGAGTAAACACAATGGATCCAAAAACACCAATTGATATGACACACCACACATATATACAAACAGTACACACAAACTCGCATTCATGTCTTGATGGAATACCCTTGAAGAATTGCAGGACTTACACCAGTACGCCTACAAGCCTTCACAGGTTGACGATTGTAAGTTGTGGAATGTCCGGACACAATCAAGACTAACCAACAATTAGAATAATTGGAGCTCACACAATTATTTAACGCGAACATATGTACAATCAATACATCAAATGTTGTGGGTTCTGACACGACAAACTACCCTTGAAGAACCGTAGGACTTACAGCAGTACGCCTACATTCCTTCTCAGGTTGATGATACAAGTGGAAGACGTCCAGACACAAACAAAATTATAAACAGACAGATGAAAGATGATACCAATTCAGTATATACAACATGAACATATGTACAAAATCACACACCAAGCACGTTGGGCTGCTTATTGAGGCGCTACCTTTTGAAGAATTGTAGGACTTACAGCAGTACGCCTGCAACCCTTCTCAGGTTGACGCTCTAGGTCGGAAAATTGTCACAGAGTTCATTCGCTGACTTCTTTGTATCATCTACATCCTCAAATCTGAACGGTAACACGCTCATGTCATTGTATCGTAGAATATAGATGACTAACAAACAAACGACGTATCTGATCAACCAAGCGTAGAAACAGAGTAATTTGCACCAAGATAATAGGATTCAACTAGTAACTTGAAACTAGAAATGCTTTTATTCATGCAAGTCAATTTAACAGTTACTCTTTCGTTTACACTTGGCTTATTCTCACCAAACTGAGCAATATCTTTCGTCTTTTCAAATGCACCAATACTATGAAAATCATTGCACAGGATACTTCAGTTGATGGGCGTCTTTTCCATTGTGGATGACAACACCAACGACGACTGATTGATACCGGTTGATGAACTTAGCGGTGGATCAGAAGCTGTTGTTGATCGGCTTTCAGAAATTTGTCTAACTGCAAGATTACCACCATTGCTGTCTTTCACTATTAGCTCAGGTTTAGCACTAGCATCTGATGATAGGTGGGCTACATACTGATCACTTACACTGACTGTCTCACAAGTATGCATGCCTTCTGCGACTGCACCTGCATTTATTTCTACTTCACGTTCAAGTTGTACAGAACCTTTGTTCAACTTAGCAGTAGTAGGCATTCCCCTCATCTCATCATGATCAACCAAAGACAAATGTGCACAATCATGATCATTATCACGAATATTCACTTTACCGTCAATTTAGTCATTTTCAAACTCTTCAATAACAGAAGTAGACAATTTGGATTCTTCCTCACAAATCCCTAAAGGTTTTATATCTTCACTCTGACTAGTAATACCTTGTAAACTTGTGGAGTCAGAACGGTCCTCCGAAACTGTAACTATCCTTTGTGACACTCTATTCACCAATGGCTTACCAGTTGCAACTACAGACTTCTTCACCGCACCGTTATCGTCACACAATTCGGAGTCAGGCCTGGAGTTTACATTTAG